ATGTGATACATAGTTAATGCTTTGATAATGAAGATATATTCCAAAATATATCTTCTAAATGGGTTTTCGAAAACTCGATTCACATCTCGAACGCAATGGAGATCCGAATCACCGTACTCAGTTGAGTCTTGCAAGATTGAAAGCGGCTAGGGGCTACTATGTCAGTGATTCGATCTCAAAAATGAATTTATGAAATGGTTTCTTGGGATTTTTAATTACATTTATGCTCGGTAATTTAGTTTCAACATATGGAAATGCTCTCGAAATAAATGGAAAATATGATAAACAAAGGAAAATCACGAGTCAAATTTCAGCAAAAAAAACCTCAGAATGAAAAGAGTTTGAAACAAAATCCCCTAGTCCATAGCTTTTACATACATCACAAAATGACATGAGATGCAATCAAGTTGAGAATCGTACCACTTTTGCATTAGCCAGAATCGAAGACTGAATGGGAAACAATTCATCACGGGTTACTTTGCTCCATCGTCTGGTTGAAGAATGAAGGGAAAGAGTTTAGAATTCTTCATTAAATAATTTTTTTTATTGCAGTAAAGTTCGTCGGCGAATGTTTGATACACGTACATCGCTATACACATACACTTACTTAATTTGTTTTTTGCTTCAGCTTGTGTGTGCATGAAGTATAGTTGCGTCGCTTTGATTTTGATTTACGACGTAACATCAAAGTGAACAAGTTCCTATTGAATCCACATTTCGATTTGCAATTTGAGGCACTTTCTTAAACTGTGTGATATTACAACCGAAGTGAATTCGAGATTAAAGCAACATTCAGCAACAAGCTAAGTGTAAGTAAAAAGGCAGTAGCATCTTATCTCGCTTTCGAGATTCGAAATTCTTGAATACTATTGATTCAAAATAAATGATTGTTTTAATATTGCAACTTCAATTGGATTTAGCTGGTTGCAATCGCAAGAAAATTGCGTACTTTTCAAACAAGTTGTTACTGTTTCAATTGGTAATATAATCCGTCTCTGGCCAATTACAGATAAAACTAATTTCGCCTTATTTATTGAGACAATTTTGTTTTTTATTTCACCATTTACCCTCGCCCCTTCATTGTCGGTTGCTCTGTCCTCGGAGGAAATGGATGTCATTTCAAAATGAAAACAGGAACTGAATTTTAACCGTCGAAAATTATGCGTTGAGATAAGAAATACGAAAGATGATGTACCGAGTCATGACTATGTCTATTAGTGTCATAGCAACAATAACGAAACATACAGCGACGAAAAAAAGCGGAAAATACTTTGCCAAACTGTGAATAAAGAACGCAATAAAATAAAGGGAAATATATTGGCGTGTGCAACACATAGATATGCGATGATGATGACGACGACGACGTCGAGATGGGAAAGTCTGACAAAAAGTAAACCTATTTCGGAATGGATGGTGTCGAATTGCGAAGTACGGAAGAAGAAGAAACGTGAAACGACACGGGAAAAAGTGGTCGTAAAACATGAAAAGTGTTACACAAGCCACCCCAAATGCAAGTGGCAAGCATGCGAATGAGCAAAGTTTTGAAAGAAGGAGAGAGAGAGAGAGAGAGAGAGAGAGAGGTTGTTGTCATTGCCATTGCCAATTCCGTTGTATTTTTGTTTTTACACCGATTTTCCGCTCTGTTCTCACATCAACGAGATGTTCTTTGGCTTAATATTCACCGCAGCCCTTACACACACTCAACCAACACGCTCGCTCCTCCACTCTCGTGTGTTGTGCTTCTCTTATCTACCCGCGCTCCAATTCTATTTGCTGTCATTTCGGTCTTAATGAATGATGTTCTTTTTTTCTTGTTTTGATAACAAACTTTACGAATATATTTCGAAAAATTCCGTCACAGAGCTGAAGATTGTGCGAAGCATGTGTATGTATGTGTGACGGGTGTGTTGTATTCGTCTATTAGTAAATTAGCTACTTAATCGTACAACACTGTGATTATAACATACGTATGATGAGAGAGCGATGCCGAAATTCATTTCGATGGATGGTTCAACAAAAAAATGGGATAGCCCTTTGTTCCCATGCCTTGTGCACTAAATCTGTTCGCTTTTTCTGGTTTTTTTTTGTTATTGTTCTGCAAAAACTTTTGCCACAAATGCTGCGAGATGTGTACACAGAATGTGTTGTCTGTGCAATCGGTGTGGTGATGCGACGAGTTTTGGCAATTCTGAAAAGGGCTGAACCAAACTTTCATTCAAAACCTCGCAATTCGCATCTTCAACTGGAATATTTCATCTCGACCCTTATTACTTTGCGAACAAAGCAACACGTTTTTCTGCTCTTATCGATTTCCGTTCGTAAAACAAGTTGTAAAACAGGAAAAACAAAGACGAGCGGAAAAAAACAATCGTTGCATCGCACAAAAACCAGAGGAACATTTGAGTGCCCATCAAATGAAGCAAAGAAAAAACGCACGAATAATTGACGTTAAGTGAAAAAGTAATGAATAAAGATGATGGAAAGGAAGACGACGAGAGTGAGAATAAGAATGGAAAAAGTTATAATGGAAAATTGTTGCTTTACACAAATAATCATATTATTTTAATAAATTGTTCGTAAGTTCCTTCGCTTCGTTTGGTTTCGTTGCCGTTTCTACATTATTCGCATCGACGTGGCATTCTATTCATTTCCACGTCCATTTCGAGTCGGTATTTTTTTTCCTTCATTTTCGTTCGCTGTTGCTTTGTTTTTCAGTGCGTTCACTCATCCTTTCTCGACTCCGCTCCACTTGATTTCTTGTTACACACTCAACGAAAAAATCTTTGCGAAACGACCAACACAGTTTGCAGGTTTTTTTTTCGTTCGTGCTGCTTGCCATACCCGCAATTGTCATCTTCACTACGAATTCCATTTACTATTGTTATTACTCGGAAGTATGTATTACTTGTGTATAATTCAGTCTGGTTGGTGCGACGTCGAACTAAGTCATTGCTCAAGAAGAAAAAAAATATGAAATGAGAAATGATAAAAAGCATTTTTCGTTTTATTCTCATTCTTCTCTTCTTCTTTGCGCTATTCTTATTCTTTTTTCTTCTGTGAGTGTGTGTTTTTTGCGAGCCTTTTGTTCTGGCGTGCATTAAAAATAAATGACAGAAAAGGAAAATGAAATCGACAAGAATAAATTTATACACATCATCATCTTTATTACATTACAATAGCAAATGGACTGAAGATGAATGAACGAGAGACACAGAGAAAGGAGTGGTAGTCTGAGCCAGATATAGAATGAGGTTGAACGGGGGTGGGTATTACAGAGTGGCTTTTGTTGCCAGATTTCCATTGTTATGTTGTCAAATCCACAAAAATCTTGACATTTTTTTGTCATTTTATTCGGTTTATCATTGTATCTATTTAATAAAAATCGCTCGAAATGAGGAAACGAGATGGAGGGTGTCAAAAGTGAAGGACAGCATGACATACCATCCACAAACAGTTCATAAAGTTGCAAACACACACACACACACACATGCACAAAATCGGGGATATTGGAATGAAACAAAAAAGTATGACAACAAGCTCAAGAGATAAACATAATCATCGAGACAACAATGATAACCGACTATAAAAAACGCGCACGCACACACACACACACACACACAAACCTGCTTTTATGTGCGTTCTCCATTGAGCTCGATTTAGCTGAAACATTTTTGCGAATTTTGCATAAAATGTCTGTGAGTGCAGCACTTACACACATTCCTACAGCTATTTGAAATATGTTTCATTGTTTCGAAAGTACCACTCATAGTTCTGTGCTGACTGAATAGAGACGCAATTGAGAGCCAGCGAGTGACAGAGAGACAGAGCGAGAAAAAGAGAGAGGGCAATGAGATATGATGAAAAACCAAAATATTCCACATGCGATACTTCATTTGGTTGGGTCGGATTTGATCTGCCATCATCAGCAAATATATATGTATGGATTTATGTATGGAAACTTTGTTCGTTCAAGATGAGCGATGCGTGCTCACAGCGTGATGGTTTACTCAATTTGGCCGGAATTTAATCAGAACTAAAGAAAAGCGCAAACCCAACTGGAACAAAAAAAATATTCGGTTCGTGCAACATGCGAAGTACGAATGAACAGCAACAGCAGCAGCAGCAGCAGAAACTAGCGAATCAAAGCATGCGAATAAAATATTCATTTTGAATATTTAACTGAATTTGAGATTTGTTGCTGCTCAAGCAAAGCAATGAAGCACAACGAGATCGACATTTTAGCTGCTTATCATTCGGAGAATGATGCGTTTTTTTTTGTCCCATTCTGCTCTCCAATGGAGAGTCTCTATCTCTCTTCTGCTTCTTCTTTTTATTTTGTACTTGAGTTTCGTTTCCTTTGTGCCAGAAAAGAGAACTATTTACTTTAGTTGTTTCGAAAAATATTGCTAAAATGGCTGGCTCGTTTTGGTGAAAGAGCATGACGATGTGATATGAATCGGAGATGATAAGCAATTTGAAATGAAGTCGGATGAAACCCGAAAAAAAGACATTGCGCATATTGTGTAGATGTTGTTAGCAGCAACTTTATTACCAGGCAATGGGTCGTTAACAGCAAACAGAAAACGGCAGAATAGACGAAAAAAAAGCGTAATGCTTTAAATATTTTTGGCACGTTTCTCACACAACAAAGCAGACAATGCATCGAAAATAGACAATAGTTTTCAACGATAGAGCCCCGGCTCTCTCTTGAAAATGTTGATTTGTATACACTAAACATTATCCTCCATTACATAATATGAATATTATGCAAATGCGACAAACTATTATAGATTGCAAACGGCAAGCATCGAATTCAGAGTGTATATGGTGCTGTTGGTTTAATGCCCGAGGCGCACTATTCCACTTCAGTTTTCATGAAATGTTAAATTCAATTTTGCACATCGAAAATGGAAAAACAACGCTTCAAACATGACTGCAGGTCATAAATACATGAGTCAATTCACTGATTCTTTAAAATTTATCTGGTTTCATTCGAGGGCTTCCGCAAATGCATTTGCTTCAATCAATACACGTTCCGGCACAATATTGATATAGGCACACATACACTACAATGTCTGGCATTTTGTGACTCTCACTCTCTGTTGCTCCTCTCCCGAAAAAATGCAATCAAATGCAATGAAAACAAACGAGAAGCCAGTAACTGGTTAGCCGGTGGTGAGAGACGAAATTCTGATCGCAAACGTGCAAATCGCAATGCATTTGAGCTTTAATACAATGTCTGGAATTAAACAAACTTCAGTGGAAATGTTTGGAATGGTTTACCATCGAGAAAAATGCTAAGAAAAAAATTTACTGCCTCGTTTTGTTTCTTTCGTACACAAAAGATCGTGTTTTGAGAGCAGTTTTAGTAATTTTGGTACTTGTTGTTGTGTATTTTGTATTTGCAGGTAAAACATTAAAATGCGATGCAATTCCGAATGACTGTGCCATTAAACGACGTCTGAAGACATCAAATTGAGACCATGTTCTAAACTGCTGTTATTCGTAAGTATTACATGATTTTCTCTCCGGTGTTCCTGTTTGAAGCATCATCAACACAACCGGGAGTCACATTCACACAATTACAATGGCAAAATGAATGAAAATACCAAAAACTAATCGGAGGGAATCGATACTTGTTACGGTGAAAATGCCAATACGGGCGATACAATTCAACATTCGGAATTTGGTTTGACTACCTGAAATTACTACAATTTCTTTCAAACTATTCGCACTGAAACTCCTTATCAGGTTCGACAGCATCCAAGTGGATGCTTTTGAAGATAAGGTTAAATACAAAAACGTCTAAAAACAAAAGAAAATCGTCTAGAAAAAATAACAATTTCGTTTTTAATTCTTGTCAATTGTGTGTCAATGTAATTATCGTGACAAGACTAGCTCGAAGCCCCACAGCATCAAATACTGAATGAACCGAAAATGCTATCAGTTACATACATGGAAATATTATATTATTCGATCAATAGACACCATTTTTAATTAGAGCTAAATGGACAATGTATAATTGGGCCAGGGCCTGTTCATTGTTCAGTTAAATTTTGCACAATAAATAAAAATAAAAAAAATAAAATAAAACACAAAAATGAAATGTTCCATTGATGATAGTTCAAATTGAATTCGAAATGGAAGAAATTCATTTCGTGTATTGACAAGCTGAACAAATACTTTATTACTTCCTTGACACAATTCAATTGGTACTTTTCGAATTTAAAAATCTTGCGCTGCATCAAATTAAAGCAACTCTTGTTCATATACTTTTTCGATTCGAATAACTCGAGATGGTTTTCATTTTGCGAAAACCAACGAAATTCATTTGAATATCTGAAAAAACTTCGTTTCGACTCACGCCGTCGTGCTCGCTGTCAACGGCAAATTCAATTGTCACTGGCGGCAACAGCAATGTTAATGCCGAACTAAAGATGGTTTACATCTAAACTTCCACGAGCATTGCATTTACCGGCGGACAAACTTATTTTGATTTTAATCAAAATTTCATACAATAGTTTTCAGCAAAATAAGTTTTCTGTTGTCGAAGTCAGTTTTAATCTGGAGAATTTCTTTGGCTGCCTGTCGATATGTATGGACTGTTGTGGACTGGCACAGATTTTTCATTAATTTCGGGGGTTAATTGAGTGGAATTCGGAATGCGACGTCCTCACATCATTAGAAAGAAGATGATATTAAAAGTGACCGTATTAAATCATTCAGAACGGATTTAACTCGGAAACGAGTTGGAAAAAGGGTGTACGCTTCATTGGGAATCTAATTTAAAATATCGCATCGTGTTTGATAGAACATTGTGTGTATGTGTGTTTGTGCGTTGCTCATCCGTTCATCTCTTCTTTGCCTGTGTACTTTCCCTCATCGCCATAAGAAATCGAATATGCGGATTTCCAATCGAGTCGACGATTTATCTATATTTGGCAATGGACTGAAAATCCTGTCGAACAAGAAAAATTGAGTTCGAGCCTTCGGAAATGACACACAATAACAACGGGGCAAACCAGAATGAGAATAACCCCAGCAAACTTCAATACTCAATATCCTTTTTTTATATTCGCCCCGAAAATAATAATACACTTCGATTTTTGCGGACTACAAAAAAGAGCAGCATATAATTTATTGCATCTTATCTCTTGCTTCGATTATTATTTTTCACGCTATCCATTGCCGAGGGTAACATGCGACAGAAGAGAAGGATCGTGCGATTCGAACGAGAGAAAGAAAAAACTTGGGGGTAATTTATGGTTCATAAGCTTGGAACGCACTGGCAATGCGGTCAGTTGCCAAAAATCATTTCCATCGATTCATATCAGTGAACACGATGAGAAAATGCTAAAGAGCGACGAAAATCAATTTTCGGTGCTCATTTTTCTTCTTCCTTCCACTCTATCTCTCTTCCTCTCTCTCGCTTGCTTCTTTTCATTCTCGTCCATATTGTGTGTGTGCGCGCCCGATTGCATATAATCTACTAAAGATCAGTGCATAAGACATCCATTGCAAATGGTATATAGTATATCATTCGACAGTAGCATCCAGTCGCATGATCCAGTTCATGAATTTTGTATGTTCGAAGAGCTTTGTGTGTTTGTGCAATTTGAATTCGATTATCGATCAGTTCATTCGTAATAATTTGTTGGGGCGCAAGTTTGATATCTGTCGCCAGATTATGTCTCTCTTTCTCTCTCGCTCTTGTTGAAAATTATTTCTTCGATTTATTCTTCCACTTTTATTATTTGTTTGCCATTCGTTTCGTTATGTCCCATTGAAAGTTGCTCGTGTAATGTCGCCATCGTTCATTGTCATTTTCATCGTTTTTTATATCTCTTTCTCCTTCTTTCTCCTGTCGCTGCTTTGTGTGTGTTCCTCTTTAAAGTTTATTTAATAAAACTTTTATGAAGCTCACACAAAAAAAACTTTGGCAGAGAAAAGTTAAGATGCGTTCAAATAACGCCAGTAGTCGAACGAGAGGCGTTTTATGACATGTTTTTCATCTGGCTCACAATACCACCGTATTCTCGTTTTGCACCCGTTTATTTAATTTGTACTTTCGTCAAGTTTTCCCATCCGGTGTGGCGTGCGCGCGTTCGCTCTCGCTCACCTCGCTCGTTGGCAAAGATGGTCGATTTCTGTGCGAATGTGTCATCAAAATCGATTCGATGTCCTTATTTTTCAATTCCAATTTCATTTGTTTGTTTATGTTATTTGCTGGTGCCCTTTTTTACTTCCACGGCGAAATTGCCGATGGAGTCAGAATAACGAGCGTAAGAAAGACGAATGAATTGAATGGTTCGATTCGGCTCGCCTCAATATCTTCCTTCGTAAACACCACCAGATGGACACAAGCACAACCAGAGAGTGAGAGATTGAACATTAAATGGGAAAAATAAATCGAAACACATGAAAATGGACAAGTTGTAACAATAAGTCAAGTCAGCACCAATAGCCAAACACACATACTCGCTCACACACCAAGCTGTTATCGTTTCATTGCTCAACAACAATGCTCAATGAATGTAACGAAGTGACGGCTAACGATACAAATTCAATAAATTATCATTTTTTTCGTTGGGAATTTTCACATTGCCGATGGCCAATCGAGTCAGTCGGCACTGATGGACAGCCAGCCAACCAGCCACTCATCCTCATTCCCTTCTCTCGCGCACTCTCACTCTCGTTCTCATTGCTGTGTGTACATTTCATGTGTGCGATATGCCACTTTGATTTGCAATCGAAATTATGGTGTGAAATCGCCACGGGAATTCAATAGGCCCAACACCAAATGATATTTTATTCATTTGATTGTGTATTTTGTTTGTGCATGAGTCTGTATTCGACAATCGAATGAAAATGGCCATTGAAAAAGAGAGAGAGAGCTAACTAGCCAGCCAGACAGCCAGCCAGCCAGCCGTATTTCAGCAATATGTCGTTCTTCTCAAACGAAAACCGAAAATTCCAATTTTCGTTTGATTTCCATCGTTTTTGGTTGATGCAAAAGCAAAAGTTTGGTCCTTTTTCTGTCTTTGCTAGGTTCAATTTTTTACATACCGTTAATGTCGATTGCTTCACAGCGCCAAACTTGTCCGAATGCTCCTTCTCCCAAAATATTGAAAAACTTTAATCGATGCCTTGGGAAATCCCATCCATCTGATTTTCCCTGTGAATTCGAACTACTTGTTGATAGCTGCGATGTTGCCTGAAATTACAAAACACACATGAGAGAGAAGAATAGAAAAAAATCGAGCAAACGATTTAAGTAAAAAAAACAACAAACAAGAAATTCCCAATGAGATGAGGAGTATCGATATAAAAATGCGAGAAAACCATCATGGTCATCTTAAATAAATGCCGTATACGGTTGATGATTCCACATTGTTCGTCGCCACAAATGGTCGAACAATTGGAGAGTAACAAAAGAAAACGATGAACGAACGAACGAACGAAACGGAGAGCCGAGTGTGTTGAAGAACTGAACTGCTTCGGCTCATTATACCTTTTTTGTGCTGAGTACGACTCGTATTCTGAGAGAGAGAGAGAGAGAGAGAGAGAGAGAGAGAGAAAGAAAAAGGGTGCGAACATAATAGTAACCTTATTATTCGGTAGTCTATCCAACATATTTAACTAGTTTAGTCTTCAGCAGCTGTATCCTTCGAGCAAAATGATAACAATATGGTTTCCCAATCAAAATCTCCCGGCAAATTTCAATATCGTAAGACTTTAAGCAGTTTATCGAGCCATCGACAAAATGAGAATGAAAACCAATTGCCAATCCAACTAAACAGTCAAAAATAACAATCCCAATTTCATCTTTTAAAAAGGGAGGTGTAGTGGTGTACGGTACGTAACCACTCGCCGCATGCATTACACATGCATTGCGCATGCTGATTAGCATTAATTAAATAAAGTCACTCAGTCTTGAGTATACAGCCTAAGCTGCAAGTTGTCTGATTAATTATCCACCCATACAGGAGGCCATCTGAGAGTCTCTGACCTCAGATGGCCCACCGTCTAAATATCATCAACTATACCTTATTACCATTAAACACCACTCCCATCGTCTCTACTTTCTCATCTCTTGGCCTCATTCTCGAGCATCATCGCTCTCAACGGTATCAAAAGCTTGGCAATACGTCATGCGAACATAACACATGGCTTGGGCTGGCTCATAATGAAACTTTTCAATGTGCACCAAAGCATCCCTTTTGAACAAAAGTCTTTTCATTTGTGTTATCGCTTTTTCTGTCGACGTAATGAAATTTTCCGGCAGCTATAAATAATTTATGGCTGTTGCGAAAGTATGGTAGAGAGAAAATAGCATCGAAGGAACATCTTTATGAATGGTTTACCGTAAACGAAGAGATAGAGAGAGGGTGAGTGAGTGAGATTTGCTTTTATGTTGTCGGCTCGTCTTCTTTTACACATCGATATCAATCATGACTGAGGGCGCGGAAAGTTTTGCTGACTCTGATCAGCTCGCTGCCTTGTGATGGACGGATGAGCGAGCGAACAAACGACTGAGCTCAATGTGATTCAATTCGATTTAATAAGTGAATGCATATGTGTGTGCGCGCTGTGCTTTTGTGCGTTATCAGTTGCTGGTAAGTAAAATGAAAATTGAGGATGCCTTGTTCTCGTGTGCCCGATATCCATTCACATCGTAAATACTACCATTGCACATCCTATATCATTCGTAAGTGATGCGAAAACGATTCGATCGTCTATCGAAATGGGTGCACCATTCCCGCTCAATCGCTCGTTCCCGCCGATTCCGAAAATGGAAGATACATCCCATAACAACATAATAAAAATAAATCTGTTTTAGTTATTGGCGACTGGTGTGCGCTTTTATTATTCGCTTTAGCCGATACTGCCGATTGTTTTTATACATTGGCTCGAAAAACCTGTCTTGCACTCGCATACACACACAGTGTGCTTTTGGAACAACTTTTATTACACATCCCTTCGTTATACGTTTTATTCTGATTTTTATTTCTACTTTTTTTCTGTATCCTACGGTTGGTTCATTCGTTCGTTTGCCGTGTGTCTTGACCGAAAATGTCTGGCCCGACAGGAGTCGGTGAATCAAACACGCCGTGTACAAAGACGGTTTTCAATAGACGAGCGAAAGAGTATAGAATGTAGTCGATAGAGAGACAAAGTGAGTGTATGTTTACCTGCATGTGTGAATTTTCTCGCTCCCAGGGGACATATCGATTATTAAACGCTGTTGGACCATTCCAATGCTGCATTACCATTGAATTGCGACTGTCTTCCGATATCGACGACATCATAACCGTACTCGTATTACTTAAATTGCTTTGGTTTGATTTTTTGGCCATTTCTTCTTTGCTTTTATTTTTCAGTGATTTACCAATTGCACATAAGCGCTTTCGAAATAGAAACGACGATACAATTAGACCCGATGCAATTATAATGCCGCATGCGATGATTGCAATTGGCAAAACGGTTTTCAATGCGGATCGTGGAAAGATTGTCGTCTCTGACGTGCTATTCGTGGTCGCACCATTCACCATCGCAGTGCCGTTAGCGGTGTGTGTTGCATTGTTGCTTGGATTTTCATCGGTGGTTGTTGGTATTTCATTGGCGATGGTGGTCGATGTAGTTGTGGCATTGTTGTTGTTGTTTCCATTTGATTTTGGTGTGTTATAAATCGGTGGCAGTGCAAACGGTGGATATGGTGGCCGAGTTGGAACGCCTGGCAATGAATAAAACGGTGGCAGCAAATGCGTTGCATTTTTCACATGCGACATAAATGACGGCGCACCATTTCCATTAGTTGTTGGACCATTTTTCGACTTGATATTGACGAATACACCATTTTTTGCATGGTATGTACCGTCGGTAACGGTGACATAGAGCAAAAAGTTTTCGCCACCACGACCCTCCAAACTCTCATTGAGATAAACAACGCCGGTATCACGATTTATACGAAATGGCAGTGTTTCATCTTCAGCTCCGTCGCTCGGTTCCAAACCGAATGTTAGCACATCGTTTGGATCATTATCGCTCGCCTGTACACGAGCTATCACCGTGTCGATTTTCTCGTCCTCGGGTATTTTCCAATGATTGTCGACCAACACAACAGGCGGTGAATTAGGAACTTGATCGGATCGAAATTCCTTGGCTGCAGCTGGAAAATTGAAAAAAAAACGCAAAATTGTTATGATTAACTGATCAATTTTCATTAATTTGCTAATCATTTTAATGACAATGTGAAATCCATTAAAAATACACAACAAAACTGCAATTAGTGTCACATTTTCAGGTTTCAACATGTTGAAAATGGAAAAAAAATATTAATGTTCATAAAACAATTAGACACGAGAACTTGGCATTCTTTTGAAAGGACAGAAGTACAGCGCAGCGTAATGTGAAAGTCATGTATTAATAGCGAGCACCGAGCAATAACATGTTTCTGCTTCAATGTCTCTTTATGGGAATATTACAGTAATTTTGAGTGATTTTTTTGGTCGAGGCATAATTTTATTAAGTGTCACGTCAATCAATGATTCATTTCCTTTCCAAAAACAACGCCCGAATGGTATCATAATTTAAATAATCGAATTGCATAATGGAATACGGATCCTCTAGTCATAACTAGACCCAAATCCAAGCTGGCCCAACAACAATTCGTATTCGAATGTATAAAAGCGAGAGAAAAAAACGTCGTTCGAAGCATAACACAGCATATGTCAAAAATGTTATTGTGAGTCAGCATAACTTTCATTTTTCGAACCATTTTGACGCTACTTTTATTATTGTTTTTTCTCTGTCCCTCTTTCTGTTGCTGTGCGTATTGTGAGCGTATATTTTTTCGGTTGATGTTTGACCGCATTTCTCTCCTCCTATAAATGGTATTGCTCTGTGCTTCTTTGAACGCAAATGAAACATTTGCATGAATTGTTTGCTCTGAACGCGCCCATCCAAAATTCAGATTTGATGTTCATTGTCCACATACTGAATGAAACGAATTCAAATTCGTTCATTTGAATTACAGTGAGGGACTACCAGAAGTGTCCGGGGCGCGTTTGATGAAGTGTTGGATGGCGTTAATATGCGTTGGCGTCATGCAAATTCGGTTTTTATGACCTTTCAATATATCGCGTGTCGTTTGTTAAATTGTATTCTCGGTGCATATCTCAATGAAAAATAATAAAAAAAATTGTTTATAGCCGAGGAGCGATAGAGTGTTGATAAAATCTCAAAAGCCGAGCACGAATATCGGGCCACCGCTGACTAACAATCAAAGTTCACTTTTTTGGAATGCGAACGTGTTGTTGGTTCGAGATTTTTGCATAGCACATAAATTCATTTCGTATGCTCTTACTCGTGCAACAATGAAAATAATGTGTTTGTATATGTGTTTTTTTCTTCGTTCTGCTTCCGGTGATAAGCAAATTCAGCTTTCAATGGATGTATACATTGATTTCGAGTATTCACAGGTTCACATGCAACAACAAAAAAAACGAAATACCCTGAGCAGAGCGAAAGAGAGTGAAAAATGTGGATAGAGTTCTATGGCCGAAGCCACTTGTTGTTGTTGCTTTTCTACCTTTTTCACCTAGAATCATAATTAGTCGATGTCCGACCGAATGGAAATGCACGCAACCAAAGCCGAACAAGCGACCAACGAGCAAACGACTATAAACGTGTGAGTGAATGAAAAAATATTCCTGTGTTTGCTCGAAATGGCTTGAGCGGATCATTCGCATTTTTTAATTTATATGGAGATGAACGCGCACGGACAAATAAATTATTATTGATGCACGTGAAACACACTCACACACACGCCAACGTAATAATGAGTAGGAAAAAATCCAGAATATAAACAAACTCACACTCAAAGCGGCACACAACTAAATAGCCACTGAGTATACACGCACTGAACAGAGAGAATAAAAAAAATGCCCTGAGTAGAACATAACAGCACTGTAACAGCGAATGAAAATCGCTGTAATTCACTCACTAGCATTAATAAAGTCGAGAGAAAGAGAGAGAAAGATCATTTATTGTGCTGACTTTTACGCGCACGATGAGCCAAATAAACGTCAAATCAACGTTGAGCCGTTGTTTTTCAATTTGAAAGCCCGAATAATCAACAAAATGAAAACAAAAATTAGAATAGTGAACGAATAAACATACGAACGAACGAAACGCAACAAAGCCAAGTGAATGAGTAGGCGAGCCGACGAATGAGGTGAAAGAAGAAGGGAGAGAGAGACAAAAAAGAGCCGTGCTCTGCTATTTTTTTCTCCTAGTGTTCATTTTTCGCGGAGAATTTTCAGCAGATTCATTGTATCGCTTACATAACATGATGATCGATGTGCATTGTACTGGGAATAATCAAATGAGGCAACCTCTTTATTAATTATTTCGACATTCGAGAATGAAAACAAAGCAAATCCCCACCCGAACAAAGAGCGACGGAGCAAAACAACTATGTGGTAACGCGCGCGCGAGAGAACAAAAAAATGTGTAATAAATTGATTTTGTATGTGAGTTGATGAGTCGAACTCTCTGGAAATGGAATGACGAAAAAAGCATCGAGCACTTTGAGCTTATCTACAATGAACGAACTGAAAAAAAGCGCCGCAACAACGAACAAAAACGACATGAACACTGGAAGTTAAGGTCGCAATTATGTTTTAAAATATTCTCAAGCGATTTTCATTTCGTGTTGATGTTTTTTTCTGCTCTCTCGTTCGTTGCTATTATTCATGGGAACGACAGTGCTTCAGCTTCTCACTACTTGTTCTATTTATCATTCGATCTTTTTGTTCTTGCAAAAGCGAACGCGGTGCTTTTTTTCGGTGCTATTTACTGCTGTTGCTGTTATTATCGTCGTTCGGTTCATTTTATCGAATGGATTGGATGGCGATGTGGTATGTGTGTTTTTTTAGCTGTCTAAAATTGAACGCACATTAACAACAAAACTGGTGGCAAGCCAGCCGCAAAAATGACATGCAATCGCGATACGCATGAATGATTTGTCTTTTCAACTTGACTTGATGTATACCGTGTGTTCCATTGTTCGATTCTCTGTTATACTTTTTTCTCGCTGTCGCTGTCTCTCTCGATATTCGCGCACATTCGATATTATATTTACTGGAGTAGTCAATACAACAGCAACAACAACAACAACAAAAAAGTTACCACTGTAAAACCTGATTTTTGTTCAATTTTCGCCAGGGCTTTTTCATTCCGTCCGCCGAGTGAGCGCAGCTAAATTGTACTTTGTGTCAGCGTTGATATTCCTGGCTTTCACAATGCATTTAGACTTTGACTACGAGAGCAAGCACAACAATTTTATCGCCTTTTTAATTATTGAACCACATTGAACGAGCCTCTCTCTCTCTCTCTCTCTCTCTCTCTCTCTCTAACACAACTCATGCATACACACTCTATGGAAATGGAACACGCGTTCAATCATCAATGTTCATTTTATCGGATAAATTCTTTGCAATTAATTTCAGTAGAAAATTTTTTTGCTACCATTTTACTCTAATAATTACTACAAACAGCTCACACACACAAACACCCACTCTAACCGAGGTTTAATGATGGAAAAATGCTTTGAATTTTATACTAAAAACATTTTCATTTCGCTATGCAACCACTAAATTTGGTGGTTGGGTGGTAAGTCCGTTTGCCGTCACGCCAAGTGCCATCCAAACCTCGAATTCGGAGAAAGAGAGAGAACAAACAAAAACAAATTCTCCAAAATTCGAAATAACCATTTTATGAGACGCCGATTATTGTAATTACTCAACCAGCTGCTCAATTAATTCATTAGTTTTGCTCAGCGTAACGAATCCGTTTCGCTGGCATATTTTATAATCCGGATGTTGAGAAATGAAATTGCAAACACACAATTTTGCGTTCTGTCGGATTTTACGCGAACAATACGTTCTCCATTTTGCCTTCAATTAAAACACAAACTTTTTTTTGTTCTTGTTTTTGAATCGATTAATCACAACAGATCATAATTTTTCGTTAGAATTCGTTCGGTAATAATATTTCGTAACATATTCGGCTGTATGAGTCACACGCACACAGAGAAAAGCGTATGCAAAGAGAAAAAGATTGATGACCTCATCCACTGTGTGCAATTGGTAACAAATGAGCCGGCCAATTTGTAATCGCGCTTGTAGCCGCAAGCCGCAAGTTCATGAGAACACCAACAACAAAAAACACGAAGAAGAACACGCGTACATTTTGGAATTAACATTCTTTTGTTGCTTCATTAATTATTTGAGTGTGTTCGCTGCTCTGCATAATGTTTGCATCGGAAGTAATGAGATTGAGCCCAAAATAATAATAAAAAAAAACAACAACAACAACAGTATCGGAAGAACCGCTGTATGGTTACTGCTGTGTTGTTCGCATTGTCCCACTGCCAATCGACCTTGTACCATATCAAACGGTACAAAGTATCTTAAATTCAATTTATTTCGATGAGAAGATTCATCGTTGAATTTTATAACCAACCGACTAAATGGAGTAATTAGGGACCGTGGTGGTATTATCTGCATCTTGGAAATGCGTGCTTCCCCCAAAAATGTCGAAACTTATGCCAAAATACGGTATTTATTTGATTAGGACCTAATTTCCCAAAGAGATTAAATCGATGTCTTAACTTTCTGTGTAGACAACATTTTCTCTCTCATTCACTCTCCAATGTTGGATATTGTCGCTAAGAAGCGCTTAGTCTTATCTAGATTTACACATGACTTACCATAGGCTTTATCTCTCTGCCATTTAAAAGAGAGGCAAAAAAACGTAATGTGCGTTAATTCAAATGACTGTGAACGTGTTCGTTCAATTTATAGTCCAGCGCATTTGCATTTTTTGCAAATAACCATAAAATTGCTAGCATGAAAGTTTCTATATCTCTCTGTCTGTTTAAGAGAAAAGCACTTTAAACAAATAATGACAAATGATTGTATTTTAAATGGTTCTGTGTATTTGTGTGTGTGTGTTTTTCGTTATTTCTTTTCTGCACTCGCCCATTCTAAAATGGTCATTATGAAAAGTCATTGCGTCGATGGAAATGGTTTTGTTGTCATGAAAAGAGAAGCGGAAAGCAACAACAACTAGACAACCAAGCACTTGGATTTACTGTGAGTGTGCATGTGACAATAGAATGGAAGAGTCTCTCTATCGTTCGTTTATTGTGCTCGGCATTAGGAGATACAGAGTTTATACGTATATTTTCCGCTTGCCAAGACTTCATCAACTGGGAACAAGCAGGAAAAGCCTCCATTAAAGTGAAGTTCTCATTTCAAAAATAGACTGCAGTTCGCCATTTTCCATGTGAATCGTACCGTTCGTTCGCACGAAATTTGCAAATGACATTGTTGTGTTTGAAACTATTACTATTATTATTATTTCAAGAAAATTGAAATTGCTAACTTACCAGTGTTTAAAATGAAAACTACAATTAATATCACAATTGTGTGCATCCATGACGTAGCCAAGTGGAAACGCATTGATTTTGATGTGAAGTGAAGCATATTGTTGGATGTTTTGTGCTTGAAAATTGGAAGGAATGGGCTCAATCTCTCTCTCTCTCTCTCTCTCTCTCATGTACAGGTACACACACGCACACCGAAAATGAATAACAATATGGAGCCAGTAAATCGTCTCTTATAGTCAAGCTAATCGTTTAACACGAGTCAAAAGGCACAATTTATATTCGTATAAATTGAAGTCACTTTTTTGATTTCGCAACATTCCAAACCGAAAAAGCAGTATTGTCGTAGCGGCGAAAGCATACAAACTCAACGCGAACGCATATGTCACATACACATAAATAGTTGCAAACCGCTACGTTGTACCGTACATACATACGGACAGAATTAGAATTGCGAACCGAGCATTTGCTCATTTACATACATATATATACCGTGCAAATGGAATTGTAAAACTCTCTTTCAGCGACGACCACAATGCTGCACACACGCTCACTTGCAAACGATGTTGTTGTTTCTGCTTGTTTTTTACTTATTTCTTCGTTTGTTTTTTACTTTCGTCTTTTCACGTTTATTACTATTTTCTTTAAATATACAAATTCGTTCTTCGCTTTCACTTGAGCACAACAATTTCACCATAAAAATGGCTCACTTGGCGTATGGAGACGCGAATTCAGTTCGCTCACGTAATTTATTGAATGTGTTTCTTTTCCCTTCGGCTGTGCCATTCGGTGGTTCCTAGTGCCTTTTGGCCGCACTTAACGCTGTTTAATAATGAAGATGAATTTCTCGCTGTCGCCTCTTTCTCTCGCACACTCACTCACTCACTCACTCACTTGCTGCTTTGTTATCGTTTTGTTTTGATTTTTTTTTCTCCTCGTCTTCTGCTGAATCGTCGTCTGTTTATTCGTTGCCTTTATTTCACTGTTGTTTCAAAAACACAATCGCAATATGATTTTGTTGTTTTATTTTTTTTCGGTCGTTTTTCTTTGCACTCGTGCCCATGCCCAATGGAAATTATGGGCACACATACGAATATGACCACTGCGCTGTGTGCTGCGTATATTTTTTGAGCACATTTATTATTTTATTTGTTCTTCGGGCTGCCGCTTTTTTGTTTCTTTCTCCATAAACACACATTCACTGTGCGCACGTTATAGCTGCTGGTTGTTGTATGTCAAATAAAAATATTCATGAAAATTGCATTGCATTTTTCTGGCATGACATTCTCATAATTTTGTTTTTTTCGGGTTGTGTCTCGTCGTTATTTTACTCGGTCGTTGGTGTGTATGTGTATTTTTATTTTTATTTTTTTGGTTTCACTTGGCGCACTCACGTCTAGGCAATGACAACACTAAATAAACCCAACGAATGAACACATCATTATGTTTTATTTTTATTTTTTTCGTAGTCACACAATTTGGCTGGTGATTTATCCAAAACTGGCATTCGCTCTCGTTTGTTTCTTTTTTATTATTATTATTTCAAATAAACTATTTTCACTTTTTTTCATTACTCGGCACCATTGTCACATAACTGTACAACGGTTTTGATCGTCGGCTAATTTCTCCGATCATAATAAAAATTGATTTATTAGCTAAATCGTTGATCGCCTGCAAATATACAAAATGAAAATGTCACATTAAAATACCAATTAATTTCACATGAAATTCATTTCAATTTGATTCATTTGCACTGCAAAACCAAATGAGAGTGAAAAAGATAATAGCATCGGATGGGCAAATGGGAATCAGAGCTCAAGAAAATGTGGCGTTGAAAGCAGTTTAAGATTGAATTTCATGTTCAACAGTCACTTAAATGATTTAATTCATTTGGATGGTTATCGCAAAGCATGAGATAGATGGAGAAAGATGAATGAAATAGAATGGCTTCACTTGAAAACACTTAAGAGCATGAAATCTTTCCGACACATGTTTTGGCTTTGCGAAAGATGACTAGGCGAGAAACCACAAAAGCACAACCTCAACAACAGCATCAGAAACAACAACAGCAACAGCAAGAAAAATGCAGTCTTCAACAATTTCTCTTTTCAGTTTGATTTTATGTCCGTTCGTGTTTATCACTTTCTTGTATATATATATATATGCATTCAATTAGATTCTTGATATTTTCTACTTTGCATGGACTTAAATACACATCATTCGTGATTGAAAATTGCTCAATCCACAATTGCGATGCTTAACTTTATATATCAACAATGTAGAAAATAGCAAACTCAACAAGCGATAAAACACCGAGTGCACGAACGAAAACTCGTTGCGACTTGATTCTGGCACTGGTTCGACCAAATGACGAGCTTCCAATTAAGGAAATGCATTCCAATGCCAAGCAAATCGGTTTTTGCTCGATTTGAGTTTTTTTTTCTCCGTATGATTTAAGCCGATAAAAAAGGTTTAGTTTATGATGGGATCATTACATTTTCGATGAAAAGAAATCTCTTAAAACAATATGAAGATATCAGAGTATTTTTATTGGAACACCAGAGAATATGCAACACATGATCGATTTTCTTCACAAGCAACACAATGCAATAGCACACGGTCGTATATCCGCTTAATTGCCACTTGCATTGAATTCAGATTTCTGTTGTGTTGTTTCTCTCGTCGGTTTTTTCTTCGTCTTTCAACGAAATAATGAAATATTTCATTCCACACAATGATTTATGATATTCGATAACGACTGCTGATCACGTATCATCAGCGATCGTATATCACATTGACTGTGTACACAAATTCCGATAGAGTGCTTACATGACTCTAATTAGAATATGATGAAGGGGGATAGTGCGCTCGCGTAAAACAAGAAATGGACGCTTTGCTATTGTGCATTCGCCTTTCAATATTGTTTTTATGGCTTTGCGCGCTTTGTATGATCGTATCCGGATTTTATTGTATTAGTAAATGGCTTGGTTGCTTGCTCGTGATGGTGAAAGTATTTGCGTTCATTTTCGGACCCGATAAACTTATTAAGACTGTTAATTTGTTTCGTCTTTTTTGTCTGTTTGTTTGTTTGTTTGTTTGGTTTCGGACTGGAAAGGTTTAAGATTTTAATCGCACTGTTGAAAAATTTCAACCAACATGGAAATGTGTTTGAACCTTCGTGGTTCATGTAATCAGTTGCCACCAGTTTTTTCTTCTTCACGGTGCAGCGTCATTTGTGGAGTAAAGTTCATGTACAATGAGATGCAGCATTTACATGAATAATTATTTTCCGTTGCAAAGCAGCAGGAAAAAATGGCTGCTTCTGGCCCAGAGGAAACAGAGCACTGCAACCAAATGACAATGGAGTCAACGGTTTTGTGATACTTTTTTTTATTTATTTTCTGCTTCTCTACCATTTGCTTTTGTTTATCTTTTGCGCTCGTTGAAGTCGTCATTAAATATGTATTTACATTTTCGGAATGTCGAATGTTTTATTGCACGCGAGCGAATATTTGGAAGAACTAACATGTTGAGAACATCCAAATCAGACAAATGTGTTTTTTTTCGTTATTTTTCGTTTGTTAATTAAATAACAAGGAAAAAAGAGCACGCAGTAAGAACGGTAAAAAGAATAACAAAATGGAATGTATGTGGATCTTGATTCGGTATATTTGTTGAACTTCTTGAGTGAGTGAGTTTGTGTGGCAATGAAACATGTCAACGAGGAGAGAGACTCAATATGAAAAAAAAACTCCTACGCTGCTGTGCGCTCGGCTGCTCTAAACATTTATGCATTAACTGAATTTTTCATTTGCATACGCTGAAAAAAATAAGTCAAGTACACACAGAACACACATCAAACTCAGCAAAAGTAAAATTGGCAACAGCAAAAAATCGGTACAGTTTCGGTATCTAGGAAATCTGGTGCGCCAGTGTGTGCCCATGCACATGCTAACCCAAATCAAACTCATCAACTCAATCACAGTTAAACAGAATTTTTAAGCATGACCGAGAAAATTACGACACAATGGAAAACCCAAACGAGTTTTGAATTTCGGTATTCGTTCATCTGATTGTGAAATGTTTCACTTTGGGCAAGCGCGTATTTTCCATGCAGCAACAAACTGGAACGGAATCGTGATAGCAACATACAATTTTTCGGACACAAAGCACAAATTAGTGATGGCTAAATTGTTTGAATCGTTGATAGGGAATGTGTCCGAAGCAAAATTTATCGAAAATTTACTCGGTTTTGGCGTATGATGGATGTGTTGCAGAAACACGGAACCATCGATCAATGAAACGAGTTTATTGCGTTGAATCTAAAATATTGAACCATTGAAATGATGCTCGGAAAGAAAGAAGAAAAAATGTGATATTCATTTGAATTGATGATTAGCTGGCTAAATCACCGATGATATGCGATGTGCCAGACTCATTTCATTAGCAGACCATTCATTGTACGTGTGTGTTTGTGTATGCAAACATAGAGCTGAATAACGTCTACCGTTATATGATTGACAATGTACAAAGTCACGATAACACATACACACGTCTGAGCAGCTGAAGAATAAAAGACAAAAGCAAAACACACGAAAAAAAGTGAGTTGACCACACTCCAAACATTCGCGCACATACATAGGCACTGACACTGGCACGTTTTACACTCTTCAACTTTTCTATTCCAAACAAAAGCAAACTCGAAGAGCCGCACACTAGCGATCCACATTGCAAATAACGAGAGAGAGAGAGAAAAATAGAAATTTAATAACAAAAGACTTCGGTTTGAATCATTCGAAAAACCTCACTCATCCGCAGATCCGACAAATACAAATGCATCTGGGGGCACACAGTGTGTGTGTGTGTGTGTGTGTGTGTGTCTATGTTTCGCGTTCGCGACCATACAATGGCAAGTTTCCAAACCAAAGTGTTTCGTTTTTTTTTCGGCTAAATATTACCGCTGCTGCTGTTGCTACTATTTCAGAGAGAAATGTGCATTTATCGTGTAGACTGCATTGAATGACGCAGCAGCAAGCACGATAGTGTCAAAGCAACAGACACAAATAAATAATTTTTCGAATAGAAAATTTGTGGCGTACATGTTTGAAAAATATGTATTTTGTTTTGTGTGCGATGGCCATTTGAAAACGTACTCTTTCCAATTGCAATGCATATTTCACGCGAATACTTTAGTTTAATTGTTTTTTCTGTTGTTTGGGATTGGAGTCGAGAGCAGATTGCTTTCACATACAGCGACACGGACGCACATACACACACACACACATGGCAATCGGTAATCACTGAGCAGAGTGAAAGAAATATGTTTTCACGTCCGACGAACGCGCAATGATTCCAATCTGCTGCTACTTTTTTTTGCTGAACGCTTGAAGTTAACTCGAGCTAGATTTTTGTGCTCATCTCCGTTTCGCTCGTAGTTTTTTCTTCATCTACTATTTGCCATTGTTGTTGTTGTTCAATTCATTGTCGTCGTCGTCGTTCATTTGTTGAAGATAGAGCACATTTTAGTCAACTTTTTTCCTACAATGTTGCTAAGCTTCTGGTTGTTTATCTCTTGTGCTTCTGCCATTGCAGCAATTTTCAATCTATTTCTACGGTTTGCGCATTTTTCGTTCGTTTTATATCGCCATTGGAATGAGCGAGAAACCAAATTTACATTTTATGTTATGTTTGGCTCACAATGCAAAATCCAAATAGATTAACACATTCACTAGCTGAAATATATCGATACAATTGCAAAATACGAAAACGTCACAAAAAACCGTTTTCAATGCGAATGACTCAAGCAAACAATAGAAATCGCTAAACTTATCACACATACACATCTACATTTCGACGAAAATCCAATCAAATTTTATTTGTCACAAAATCACTTCTTATTTTATTTGTATATCTTTCGCGTTGATTCGACTGAGCTGAGAGAGCGTGTGTGCACAATCGACAAAATTTCGATAACTTTTTCTTTGTTAACGCAGTCGCACATAAAATTCGATATCACTAAATTTATTTTCTTCAGAGAAAAAAACCAAAATTAAAAGATAGCTTGATCAGTACGAATCGAACGTTTCACATTATGTCGACACGGCACTTCGATGAATACTGACCACAATTTTACGTATGATCATGTATGCGATCGCTTTTTTCGGTGCGCATGTATTGGTGCGAGCCCATGGAGCCAACATAATACAATACAAAAACCGAACAGAACACAGAGTGATGGAAACACACTGTTACGCGTAGCATCACGGTTTGTGTGTTAAAAGCGAACAGACCCAACAAACGTTTGCACACTAATACACATGCCAAATTATACACACATCGACAGATCACTTGACTTAAGATCACGAAAGTCTTTTGTGCGAGATACAAATACATGGCAATCCCAAACACAACACACACCTGCATTCACCGTTGCCGTGTATGTTTTGATTTGATTTCATTGTATTTATGGAACAGCTCATTTAAATATTGGGAGAACCCAGCAATATTACATTATTATATTCGCCCATTCGGTTCATTGTTCATGCAAAAAAAAACATAGGCAACAACAACAAAAATGACTGAATACTAGGTGCAACAGGTTCACAACCAAATGCTAATTGAATACAAATCAAACACTCTCCCATAACTGTCGAACCGTCTAACATCTATCAAATCAACGGCACACAATTTCAATTAAATTTGTGTAGAATCCAGTTTTAGCATCACGTTTCGGTGACGATCTGAATTTCATCATGTCACGCGAAGATCTCTCGAATAATATTCCGTGGGCTCAACACCCAAAGTAGAAAAAACAACGCTGTCATTATTCATGTTTTTGTTTAAATTGAATTTCATCATAAGAAAAGTGAATTGAATTAAGTTTTTGTTGTTGTTGCTGTTGCTGGCAATAATCTGTCTTGAGTGCCATTCTCACGCATTTATGCGAAAAAAGAAAGTTGATCTGTCCTTGAAGAGTTCATCGCGTTGAGGTCTCTTCGACTGTGTTCTCAGTGTTTTTTTTATGTTTTTTTCTCTCTCTCTCAATAAATACGGTAAACAAAACGAAAAAGACATAAAGAAAAGTAAAAACTGTTTGCATCGATGTGGTATAAATCAGTGCGATGAATGGGTGTGTGCGTGCGTTTAAATGTAAGTTTATTTATCGATATAATATTTTTTGATGCTGTCAATACAAAGTTGTTTTTCAGCCTATAACAACATCCGTCATTCTGATGCAATTGGGTCAAATACAGTTACATCATATTTGGTTTAAAATCCGGAAACCAATCTCTTTGGAACACCCTGTACGTTGCTATGTTGACATCGACAAAAACGATTCTCTAGCCATTCTTCTGTTTGAAATGGAGAAGATACCAAAGCACAAACAAACACATAATTTAATGATAGACAAGAACAACCTTGAATGGAGCATCTAATCAGCGCCTATCCGTCGTCGTTCGTTCATTCATTTGTTAGATCTCTCGCTATGTGTATGTGTTCGTCTCCATGTCACGATCTGTAGCTGCGGCAACAGATGCGCAATCGAACGATTGAATCAATTTACATAAATAAAAATGTTCCGACAACACACCACACAAAAAGCACTGACTTATTATCTTCATACGTATTGAACAATCAACTTAAAGACTAAATAAATATCCGTAACTTGTCATTAAACAGTGTTTAAGTTGAACACTGCAATGCCTGTAAGCGATGAATCCATGTCATGTCGTATATGTTTTTTTTCTCCATCTAAAGTCACAAGAATGCAGGAGAAAAAAACGTCGTTCTTGTTTCTTATTTCGGTTCGTTCCAGCGTGAATCGTATACGGTTCCGTTTGACCTTCGAACAGAGGTGAAGAGATCAAAAAACGCTTCATTGAGGACATTTTTTAACGTTAATCTGAAGAATCATTGCATGGAGCATTTTCGATATATTTTTTTTCGCCGACTCATTTATTCAAGCAGACAAACTGCAGCCGCCAAAGTCGTATTTATAAAATACGAACCTCAATTAGACGGATATTTTAACACAATCGAATTTTATTGAGATAATGGCTATATTTAGGATGGTTATTGGTTGTGATGCCATTAGTCTTCGGTGAAATGAAGATTTTTATTTAACTGAAGTCGAAAATATTTGCAGAATGAATGGAAACTTAATCGAGTCAAAAGACTCATTTGCTGTGATTGGTATATTTTTCGTTTGATTTTCAGTCAATTAGGTCTTATTTATTCGAATTTTCATCCACGAATCTATAATATTTTTGAATTTCTATGATCATTTGATGGGCTCAATTGTGATACTCAGGGGGTTTGTAGATTGAAACACAAGCACACTAGCGCCGCAGTGTGCCCTACAATATCATATATGGCAAGCTGCAGAACTATTCATACAGTATATATCAATTGTCAATCTGTAATCCCCCTGGTGATATTATTGCGTTTTAGTTCAAAATTGGTTCCATTGATGAGATCGACTTTGACTTATTGAACGTAACTGTTTCTGGGGGGTTCCTAAACAACACAAATTATCTAAATTATCTAACTGAACTTTAAACCAGTTTTATTTTTCATATCATTTAGAATCGCGTTTGTAAATTGCGAAAATTGACATCCGCTACATTTTGGACTCAATCAAAATGGGTCAATTTGGCGAGAAAATATCAATTCGGACGACTGAGTTCATTGGTTCTTCAAGTTCTATTTTCAAAACAACAGTTCAATGTTTGGACAAATCGTTAGAAAAATGTTTAATTTATAAGTTCATATTTATTTTCTTTATTTTTATTTTCTTCATAAATAATTTTCATAACGATTAGAATAGCTTTTGAACAAAATAAATCGAATTAAAACGATTAAGTCTTCACGGCAGTTGACTCAAAAAAAAGTTCAGTGAAAAATCAATTTTATCTCATGCAACGGTGTTTCGATTTTATTTCTGAACAACAATTGAGTTGATAAATTTCACATAGTAGAATTCAGTGAAATACATTTCAGTTACACTGAAGAAGCATCAAACGAAAACAGCTGGAATATTACAAGATTCCTTTGGGCAACCCAAAATACAGTAGAATAGTGTTGGTCGTTCAGCACTTTCGAACGCTTGTTCGTTTATTCGTTCGTTTTTTTTAACATTAAAAACACATAGAAATCAAATCGAGAGTAGAGTGTTTCACTGAATTTGTCGTGAAAGAGGAGACTTCTTTCGATTCCATTAATTCGCTTGAATTTTCCGTGAATTAACTTATTCGAGATTCCACTCTACAAAACCTACTAATAGTAGATTATACTATATGTGCAGTAAACAGAATTCACGTGTATAAATATACTACTCATTATACATTCTTGAATATTTGGCTTCAAGCTAGAACTAGATTAGTTTCGGTCTACGTGATGAAATTGTGCAATTTACTATCTTATTATTTCTGGTTTTATTGAAGAATGTTGTTGTTGATTATGCAATCAAATTTATCACAGTCCATGTATTTCGAAGGTCCTGCATCTAAGCATCTGACAGCTCACTTCTAGCGCTACGAGACAAGTGTCAAAAGTTGTGACACAGATCGTTCAATGTATTATTGAATCTTTTTTATATTTGTTAATAAAGTTGACAAAAAAAATAAAAATGTCACGAAAGTGCAAAATTGATTTTTGTGAGAGCGTAGCACGTGATAAACATCAATTTTATGATTAAAAAATGTTTCTTTCATTACGGAACATTGTTGATGCGTTCGATTCGTCGCGTTCATGAGTGCGTCTAACGACGAAAAGAATTGAAATGAACTTCACCGAATGCGCTCATCGCAAATTCGTGTTTTACTTTGTTTTGTTAGTGTGGTGCAGGGGTTGTGATGTATTTTTCGGTAGCACTTGATAATGAATTTGAATTCAGATTAAAGTCCACCGAAAAATAAAACTTTAGTACTGTTTCATATGATATTGAAAAAAAAAACCATATTATGAATATACAAAACACTACATAAATACTTCAGTTTTTTTTCGAATTGTTTAAAATCCATTAGGAAGTATGCCACCGCTGACATTTTACACAAAATAATTACTTTTATCATTTTCAAAATAGCTCAGAACATTATCAAATTTTCAAAACACATTTATCGAAAATGTACAAACAAATGTGAACACCACGAAAGCTATCAAAACAAAATTCGAAGAAATTGGGCAATTAAGAATAGTTGCTGGGTCGTAATAGGTTAATAATCTCATTCTCCTTTATAAATAAATGAAACCAATTATTAGAAATGGGTCGAAAATCTAAAAATCAATATGAACGTTAAAATCGACGGACTGTCAATCAAATTATTTTCCCAGAATCGTCCACCCAACTCAATAAAAATAAATTTCTTATTTAACACGAAATGTCAACATCATTTCAGCCCTTTCTCTTTATTGTTACAGCAATTAATTCCACATATTGATATATTCCAATGAAAATATTCAATACGAATAGATTTCTATTGAAACAACTCATTCCGAATCTCCCTTTGTAAACTTTCAATCATAATGAATACCGACGCAATAAAAGCGTCGTCATACGACGAAACATACATGAATTTTATTGTTATTGATACATCAAACAATGTATAAATCGTATCAACAGCAGTGTATGTACGTGCAAAGAGCGATTGTTTTATCAATTTGAATGGGATGACGTCATTTGTGGGTACTGGATGGACTTGGGCAATATGATCGGATTATGAAATCAAGTATTAGTATCAATATTGATAGCGTCGTGAAACGATGCAGCATGTTTTGACATTTTACTTGATTGAACAAAGTTTGTTAATTGAAAGCAAAACAATGTAAGTGTGTGTATGTGCGAGAATTTAATTGAAATTGAATTTTGAAAATTGGATTTTCAAAACAATCTGCTGCAATCGTCTGTCAACAATCGTCACGGATGATACAATCAACATGAAAGTGATGTAGACTGAAAATGTGTGCCGAATGTTTTGATTTAATGGAATGAACGCGAGCATACGATGAGCAATGAAGCGATCAGACGAATGAGTGAGTGATTCAGCGAGCGAAGTGAGTGGATAGGGTGAGAGGGATTTCGATATTATGTTGATAAGACTCATTAAGGCGGTTGAACGGCAAAATATACTGTCGACTTTGTTTCAATTTGTTAGTCAGTGCTCAGTAGTAGTCAAAGTATTCGCGTTCGATTGCGACAGACACAAAAATGAACATTTTGCCAGAAGTTTTTCACTTAAAACTCGAAGCCGAAAATAAATTGCACCAATTGAATTGAGTTGCCTCAATGTGTGTGTGTGTGCGAACAAGCGAGTGAGTTTTCTCTCACTCTACACTTTAGTTTCTCGCTCACTGTCATGTTCGTCTGTGTACGGGCGAAAAGAGTCGAGTGTAGAAATGAATTGAAACAATTTATAACGATTTGAGTTTTGCCAGCGAAATTGACTCTTCTTCGGGATGGATTTAATTAATAAAGTGCATTTGATCAATTTTTCGGATTTTGTGTGTTTCACTGTGCTATGCGAGTGAGCGAAAGACAGAGAGTGTGTGTGTAAGAGAAAGGGAGATAGTTTTTCTGTTTGCATTGCATTTGGATAGAGAGAAGTGAGAGATTGTAGTTTTTGTCGGTAGCGTTCTCGTTACGAATGGGTTGAGGGGCAAATGAATAATATATTCTTTACCGCTCTGCACTTTATTTGGAACGATTTAAGTGTCTTCATTTGCCTAGTTCTAACGAAAAGTTTAAACGGTCGACAGGCAAGCTCGTCGAAATGATTATATTAATACACATTTGTGTTTGTGCGTTTGTGACACATTGTGTGTTGTGCGGGAGTGAGTCAATTATTTGTCGGTTGTTGGCGAGCGAAAAGTGTTTGATCAACACTCTCATTTGACCTGCGTGTGTATATGAGTAGTTTGGAGCAAAAATTTTATACAGAAAAGTTGAGAAGAAAAATGAGAAGAGATAGCTATATAGTTCACTATAGTTTACTATACAGTTTACTATATAGCTATCCCTTTTCCGCTTATTCATCATCAACATTTTTCCGCTCAACTTTTCTGTATTACATTTTCGCTCCAAACTACTCATATAATATCCAGTGTATTCCGCTGTAAACACAACAAATCTCAATCTTTTACGCCACGTTATCTTTTCCATTGAACTCAGTGATAACGTTTGAATCGTGTTCTTGACAGAACAACGGTTATTGCGTCCGTCTACTGGGCGTTTTATTCCAATAATAAAACTCACTGATGAAGCAGCATTTGTGTATTTCATTCATTGTTGCCGTTTTTTTTTAAATAAAAAAAATTCAAATTTGAAACTGACCTGGTTTTATGTATTTTTCAGTGTAATTCGATGAATTCGACAGCATCGAGTCCGAAATGAAGTAACATTTTGACTGCCGAGTGAATAATAATTAATCGGAGAGTGCACATTCCAATCGAAGTGACTTCAATAAATAATAATGTACGGAATGCCCATCGAATACGAGCGCTTAAAGTGACAAGGGACAGTCGGAGACGAAGAGAGATACACACCAAGTTTTTGCGTTGGATAAACTATTTACGGAATTCACATTCCATGCCGATAAATAAAAATGCCGATCGATAATTGTGATAAAGCAATGGAAAAGTCCATCAAATGGATATTTGTTGTGATTGTGGTGGTGTCCGAACTTTGTATGCAAATTTACGGAGAGCCAGAGTCGGAGCAAATACCCTTAGTTCGCCTACCATCAAATACACTACTCAAATATACGGCATACAAGGATGTGTCCATATTACATTTTGTCGTGCCGAGCGATACACGAACCGCTTATTTCAACTTTAAAGCATATGAGGAAACAAAAAGTGCCTTCCGTAAGCAAAAAAAAAGTGTTTATCTTCCATTCTCACAAAATAAATAACGCCCCCACCCGGAATCAATTATTAATATCTGAACTCTTTCTCTTTCTTTTCTGTCCATTTCATTTCATGGCGGTTTGAATTGTGTAGAGCGTCAGTGTAAGCCGAGAGATGTCACGTTACACTTAAAAGCTGGTAGTTATCCTGTAATTAGTCCAGAGAATATAACTTTTCCCAAGCATTTTTTACATGCCAATCAAAGGTAAGCTAATTGAAATTCCTTGTTTGTTTCATTACCGCGCACATTTCAATTACATACTTTTGCGGCCCGTGTGGATATATGTGTGTGAGTGAGTGAGCGTAAGTGTGTGTGTATTTGCCAGGTAAAAGCTATCCATTAAATTGTTGTTGCTGGAAAAATGTTCGATCAAGAATTTCACAAGTTCGAAGAAATCAATGGCCCCAGTTGTGCTTCGCTTCACTTTGATGGTGGCTTTTGAACCGGATCTTCGGCGAAAACGTTGTTAGCTTTAAATGTTGTTGAAAAATCACCGAAAGAACTCTGCAACGTTCAAAAAGTCAAGTGATAATAACACAAACACACCGAGTGTAATTAGTCTTCCAAGCTCTTTCATTGTTTCAAAACTAAAAATTAATGCTCGACCGAGAAGTTTGAGTGCCGCTCGAAAATCCCTTTTGAATATGCACAAGCCGTTAACCGATTTGTTGTGTATTTCGGTAGCTGGATAAAATCGCAATAAACATGCCACGCAGTAATCGGGCCCCCTTCCCATAGAAATATCGATGAAGAATGTGAGGCAATGGTTCTTTAGAGCCGCATGGAGTGTGAGATTAATATCAATTGTTTGCCAACAAAATTAACGGAATGAATCAAAATTATCGCTTTGTCGACAACCTCTAAAAACGAACGGGTAATAAGTTTTGGGCTTTTCCATCAATCGTATTCAGCGCTCCCGCAAAATAGATATGGCAGAAGGGGGCAGAACGAGTGTGTGTGTGTGTGTGTGTGTGAGACAGCGAAGAAGTGCAAACAAAAAAAGAGCTCGAAGAGAGAGTGGCGACAAACGATGAATTTGGGGAACCAACCGATTTGCATGAAAACAAAATCAGCCACCATTTAATTGGAAAACTTTATCGCTACAATGTTCGTTCGTCCGAAATGGAATTCAATTAAAAGTGATTTTCTCTCTGTGTGTGTATCTATACGGTCGCCGTATCGTTTTCGATTCGCTGGCACAGCATTAATGACAGACCGTTGTGTTGTTGGCGTTTAGCTTTGCTTGTTTTCCCATCCTCTCTGTCCTCCCGCTTCCTTTGCACGGTCCGCTGTTCGATGCTCAGCTCTTCATAAAAGGAGCGAAAAAAAATGATTAACATATTTTCTCGATTCATTTCAGTTCAATTGTGTGCTTTTATTGGCGCCATTGGCGTGGTTTTTATTGAATTTGCCAACTTTTATCTCACTTCCTCTCCCTCTCTCCTGTGTCGCTTTCTATTCACGGCCATTTCAATGGTGTTTGGAAAATTTATACGCCTTTGTTGTGTTACGATTTCTTGGCAACGATTCCGTGAAAAAGAAATTAAGAATGAAATTGGTATTTTGGTAAATTTACGAGGAGCGTTAACGTTCCGAGGAAACCGTACGATAGAGAAAACAGGGCTTTGGTCTACGTAAAACAACAACAACAAAAAACATACACACATACAAAAAAAACTAAATAGACAACAAACTTGTAATAAATATACGAAAGAAGCGACAAGCTGTCGGCGATAATTTTTATCTAAAAACAAAACAAATTAAATTATTTCAAGTCAATTACCGTTCATCTCTGAGCTCTTTATGCGAACATAATATGTTCACATAGTCTGGGCTGGAATGAAACAAAAAAAACCCTGCCAGATAAGCTAGAACAGAAATTGGTATAAAAAGGAGTGGGTGACCTTAGTTCACTTCAACATTTGAACGCAATGGATAAATGGCTGAAAAATGGTTTTATGACTGTGAAAATGAACTGCCGCACCATCGAACGAAATGAATAGCCAAACCGAAATGGGCTAGAAAAATTGTAAAAGCCATTTGAATTGGTGCATAGTTACAATGTGCGAAAAATGTTCAATGTAAAATGGTGAAATATCTCATTTTATCTAAATTAGGATCAAAAATTCCAATCCCATCGTCAACGTTGGTCACTTTTAATCGAGAATATGGACAGAAATATATGCCCATAGATTACATGGTAGTTTGAGTACATGGCGGATTATTTACATGCATTGATAATTTTAAATCAACTTAATACCGGTCAGTTGCTTCATTAGGCTTAGTAATGGTTGCCAACAGTCGAGCCTATATATATATACAACCGCCCTCGTTCCAATCAACCTCAAAGCTTGTGCACTTCGTGCCCAGTCCTTCCATATTAATGGAAGTGATAGTCATTAATTGCATTTAATATTCATGCGTTCACCGTGCTTAGCACTCAATTCAATAAACCAACCAGCCAACCGATGACTAAACGAATGAATGTGTGTATGTGTATTTACTGCTTGTGCTTCCTGTGTATCTACAATATCTACATATCTCTCCACTTGCCCCCTTTTTCACTCAATTCGTCGTCACATTTAATTAAATATCATGAATTAGGGCAATTTTACTTCCAGCTCAAGCATATCAAGCACATCCATTTTGACTATTTATGCTATTTTATGTTTTTAATTAAAATACGTATTAATTATTCAGTAGCGTTAAATTTCATTATTTTCCCTTAGTCCGAACGCAAATACAATACCATTTTCGGTGTGTATCGAAATTAATTTTCGCATTTTCACGCATTTTCTTCGTTTCAGATTCGAGATATACAATTTGCAATTCAAGTCTGATGGATCGATGCGGAGGATGAGTATCGATGGACCAAACACAGGTGATTGGTACGCGGTGGCATTCATTTCATGGACAGACCCAAATAACGATCGAATTGAGCAACAAGGTAAGCAACGATGAAAAAAAAAATGAAACGTTAAAAACACAACCCCCTCGTACAGCCATTTTTTCGCATGGGTAATTTGCCCAAATCACAAAAGCATAAATCCGTGAATGATTTTACCCGATACCTGCGTATCATCGCCATTTCTCGCTTTTCGCTTTTAATTACCGTGCCGTATTTGATATTTATGTGCGTAAAATTTACACACATACACATACACAAATACCATTCTCATTCAAAGACGAGATGGTGTTGGCATGTCGCATCGAAGCGCTTGAGTAACAAGCTCGAGCCACAATGATGTTATCTTTTTGGTTGAATCGATGACGAAGCGAGTGCTTGGAAATGAATTTAGAAAATTATTTTATTCGGTCATTCGTTCGCCTGCCTGCCAGCTAACATGCATTGAAAGTGGGTATTAACACCTTTTTGTCTAATGTGCGCGCTAACGTTCATGATGCGTGTGACAATCGCTTGGCATATTTAGAAGCGGCGAACAATGAACGCCTTGATTTTCCCTCGCAGCTTAATACTTCCACAAGCCACCAATTTCAATGGAGAGGCAGAGGGATGGGCTGAGCCGGCTATACAAATGAAGATCTTAAAAAAAACTTGTGTATTCTAAAATGAGGTTACAGCCGACAAAAGCCTTATTAAAGGTTATTTCATGTTCATAACAAATAATATCGTTCACACCATTCAAAACGTTAAGCCGTAATCATTTAAAACACGTAAACATAATTGAGTTCACCGTTGGCATGTATTTGTTTGCCAATTCAGTCAACATATACGCACGCACACAGGCACAAGTCCCTATAGGGACACTAGGCAGGTATAAAGGAATGAAAATGTTTGGTGTACAATGAATGCGTGTATGAACGGTGACGACTTTCATTGTATCGTATCTCATGGCTATAATCGACTTTAGACCCGAAATATCATATAAAGATGTACAATAGCATGAAAGACAGGGAATTTAATCGTGAAAGTGCTTTGATGCGAATGAACAAACGCAATCTAGCATTGTGAATGTGTTAAGCATGTGAGGAAAATGGATTCATCGTATCATAATTAACGCACAAATCATGTTCCTTTCACATTGCTTTTGCTTTCAGCCTGTATTTTATTCACCAATTACTTGCTGTGCTCATCCGTCTCCTTTGCCTGTATATGTATATTGGTTTTTATTTTTGTTCTCGGATCAAAACGAATCTCGAATATTTGATATTTGTGTTGCATGTGCAAATAAATTGAAAATCATATCCGATCACCCACTTGCATGCACCATCACTTTTCGTTTCTGCAATAACCGGACCATCGCATCGGATATCACAAACGGAACATACAATAAATCCAATATGCAATGTCCTGAAACTGCAAAATAAATGTTTAATCTATTGAACTCAAGACACATATAACCTGTTATTTTGCAAACAACTCTATGTCGGTTGCTTGGCCGGTCGGTATGTGTACATGCATGTGTGCGTTGACTAGCAGATTCACTGGACGTATATCATTGCGCTTGCATTTATGACTACAGCTATTAATGCACCTCAAAAATGCTTTCGTCCATTGAATGTAGAAAATGAAACAATGTCCTCATATATACGCTTTGACTCATGAAAACCTCCAACTCTCACAACCATACCCCCCCCCCCCGCTCAAACCAAAGCCTTGCATTGCTTATGTTGTGTCTAGATAACACTTCGATTTATTTCGCATGTCACATAGAATCAGTGGCCAAACAGAGTTCCATGAATTGCACATCCAACATTACAACAATGTATTCTATTCTCATCTATTTTTGAACTGCGCATTGAATGTCACATATTTACAGTGAAATGCAACCCATATATCTACACACTCAATATCTCCATGTCGGTTTTACTCTTTCCACCTCTTTCTCTCTCTGTGTGTAGCTCTGTCTTTCTCGGCTCCATTTTGAAACTTTGGGGTCAATTGTTATGGCTATACAAATATTCAATATCAATTTGATGCAATAAAATTATTCGATAATGAATGCTGACCGAAGACCGTCCGAGGCATGCCATGTGGCAGTCTACGTTTACAAGCATCCGAATATCTGGAAGTGAAATATCGAAAATGGAATATGCTTCAATAATTATATTATGTTATCGAATTCCAATTCAGTAAATTTTGTATTATATCTCATTCTGCTTGTCATAATTATTTTTCCTTCCATTTCATTCATCCCATTCTCTCTTTCGAAATCTCGTTTCATTGATAAAGCTCCATATACAGAGTACAACAGAAACATAACGCGACCGATATTAGTTTTCCCCCAATACCACCAATACATATATTCCATTTGGAATCCTAATTAATGGCATTTCAAATGTGCCATCGAAATAATAAAAGGGAATCCAAGCACGAATGTCATATGCGTCAAGTGACCTTCTTGATTCTCTCTAAGAGCTCCTCTGAGATGAATAACTCATAACCGACAAAAAAAAACCCAAAACCGTTTGTTGTTGATGTCGTCGTCATCGTCATCGTCACCATTGCCAATGTTGAATTATTATGATTATGCGACTTGAATAGGCACTTTAATCAAGTGAAAAGAGAAATGGTCATAAAATTCTTCTTTATTTTTTCGATCGGAAAAGTTTTTGGTCGGGTTCAATTAGTGCATTTAGCAACTTCAGCAATAAATACGCATTATCTGGTGTTTTGGTTCATGGTTTTAGATGCTAAGCTATACATATCCATGTGTCTATGTGTGTTCCGTGATTTACACTCATGATTGTATGTGAACTAATTCAAACATTTGATTCTTGTTTTTGTTTCTCTTCTCCTTTCACGCCTTCCGCTTGCTCGCGTTCGCTTTGATACGTCTGGAAATTACATAGGCCTTGCAGCATCATGCGAGACATTGCTATTGTCCGAAATGTCGGTGGTTAGTGTTAAATCGATCATTCTAAATGCTGACAACGGATTAATGTATAATAATACACTTTATGCAATCGCTAACGACCGTAATGCCAACAATAATAAGAGCAACCAGCGTAGCAGCAGCAGCAATAGTTCCGCCGTTCCAGCCACCTCCGGGGGAGTTGGTTCGGATGGTGTCGATGGTGGTAGCAGCGAAAATAGTAATGCAACCAATGCGAACATGGATAAATCAAAGTCTGCCTCAAACCAGCATCAGCCATCGATAATTTATAAATTTTTTGTGCCACGCTATGTGGATGTGGTCGGATTACAGTTCAACATTATACAAGCGTGTAACCAATGTCAGGCGATTGTAATTCGTGTGCAGGCCAACGCTTTACCAACGCCGAAAAATTGCGTTCACAGTGTTGTCATTGATGCAAATAAAACAAGCGAAAACACCATCGATTTTTATCCACAACAGTCGCATTGGCATTACATTGAAATCGGGTTTGCGAGTCGCATTAACAATGACAACGCCACCAATGCAACAACCGTCACAGCAACGTCGTCACCAGTGCTCAGTCCAACAAAAGCTTTCAAATCAAAATCACGACAGGAGAAGCGACAACAGTTTCTGGAAAATAATATTTTTGTAAATTTTAGCATAGGTCTACAATTTATCTATGAAATGCCTGTTGTTGAGTCATCTGAAAATCGGGCGAATGAGAATAAATCAACAGCAGCCAGTGTAAACAGTAATAAAGGCGATAGCAGTAGCGGCAGTAGGAATGCCAACATGGGAAACGGCAGTACAGGGTCAGAAAATGTAAATCGTATGGTCAACACATCAAATTCCAATTCATCATCGTTGTCCGACCAAAATTCAAACCAGTCAACCAGCACTACCACCACCACCTCTACTACTAGCAATGCTGTTGACGATGACGATGCCAGCAATGTTTCTGATGCTTCGAACGATGATCCTAATGATTTGATTGCAGATGAAAATGACATCAATATCAAACCATCGGCCAAGATACCAGCCAAAGCGAGGAATATTAATTATTATTCATTGCTACGGCAAACTTATCGCGAGTTCTTTATGTTCGACTACGATTTATTGCCAGATGACAATGGAACCGTTCCGACTTTTATCAATTTAACGGCCGGCATTCCGACTGGATTTCGATTTGATGTGGGCAATGTTTTTGATATTGGCGGAACATTGAGCTTTGCCGTTGTGATGAAGGACAATTTGCATGATGCTACAATTGCGGCAACCGCATCGGCAGCAACCATTTCAAAGACACGCAATAGCCGTATAACGAGCGATGTGGCTGTGGCCGAGAAGCTAGTGCACATCAATGATGAAATGAATGATGCACCAAGCCACGAATTGGCCGAAGGTAATGCCAATAATGCAAAACCTATCGATGGCATGAATTTTGAATTAAATCATTTGAATGAGAATGATGATGTGACCGATAATAGTTCAGGTAGTAATCAAACAATAATCATATGCATGCACTTGAATGCAGCCGCTCTGCCGAAATGGCCGAATCAATGCGTGTATGGACAGCACGTTTTTCCAGCGGCAAGTATCATGAACAATACCAACGAAGACACAAGTACCGGATTGGTGCATGTCCCTTTTCCAGAACCCGGCACATGGTATGTGACGCTAGGTTTATTTTGTCATGGAGCCGAGACGAGCCGCATTACGATCATCGATAGCGTGAAAGAATTTATCAAAAAATATGTGGATGTGTTGCATGATGTGCGAGTTCCGTGTGCATGTGCAAATCGTACCGATTACTATCAAAAGTGTGTGACTGATACACGATGCCTGAGCGATTTGAGCGAATCGGAAACGTTAAAAGTGAAAGAATGTCTGATGGACTCGAAATGCACAAGTAAATACAAAGAGATGGCTCGGAAATTCGAGCTACATCATCGATACGCAACCGAACAATCGGTTGCAGCTGACAGCAACTCATGCAATGCAAGCGCCGTTTTTACGATTTCATCAAGCCCATGTGTGGCCGGACGATGCGGTCGTTATGGACGATGCTATCACTATATGTCGGGTGGTTTTGTGTTTTCGACATGTCTCTGCATCAAGGGATACAGAGGATGGGACTGCACTGAAGACTCCCAAGTGCCATCCAGTTTCTCCATACTACTCGCTCTGCTGCTGCTGACCCTCAGTAATCTTTTGTTTATACCCAGCATTTACATTGCCGTTCGCCGTAAATACTTCACCGAAGGCATTATTTACTTTTTCGCAATGTTCTTCTCGATATTCTATCATGCGTGCGATTCGGGTGAGGATGAGTACAGCTTTTGTCTCGTTAAAATTGGTGTGCTGCAATTCTGCGACTTCTACTGCGGTTTGCTTGCCATTTGGGTGACATTGATTGCAATGGCACACATTCGCCAAACCTTTGTTTCAATTTTGCATATGGTCGGTGCGGTTGTGATCGCCTTCGGTACGGAGATGAATAAGCAGAGCTTATGGGTATTTTTGGCACCGGCACTCACCGGTCTCTGTTTGATATCGGTCAGCTGGGGTTGGCGATGCAAACGTACACGCAAATGGTTTCCAGCTCGACGATATCTGTCGATATTCTTGCCGATCGGTATGATATTCGTGATGTGCGGCTTAATTTGCTATGCATTTTTACAAACGCGTCACAATTACTTTGTCGTTCATTCCGCCTGGCACATGCTAATGGCATTAAGCATCCTTTGTTTGCTGCCAAGTCGTAATTCATTTATCCCAAAATGCTAGCATACAATTAACACAGTGTCGTCATCGTCTACTGCCACCACAACATCATCATCGATGTCGTCGTCGTTTGGCGAACGGAGCATTCGCTTGAATCCAATTCGATTGCTAATCGGTTGTAATTGTTACTATTGTCGCTTTTTCTATCACCAAAATGCTTACGATACCATCGATGATTAAATTCTAAAGCTGGAAATTGGTTGTTCATGGGTTTGAATGTTGTTCATGCACATGAAGAAAAGACAAAACAAAAATCAAGAGAGAGACATAGACAGCAGCTAAAAGACCATCCCTAGGTAAATTTAACAATATTACGATTGATGAATGCGAGGTGAAGTTAGCTGAGTTGAGTTGACGAATAGTTTGGGTTTTTATGTTAGATCTTAGCACACGGTACACAACACTCACACGACGAACAAAAGTGGAAATTACTTGCCTTAACTATTAGAAGAAGTCGAAAAGCTGCAGCTGAGAAAAAAAATCTAGATGAAATGTGGAAAATCAATTTATACCATTGTTCGATACCAAAAATATAACAAATGAACATTTTGACTAAAAATTTTAGGAAGAAAAAATGATATGAAAACCAAAAAAAAAAACTAACAACAGAAGAAATTTAAACGAATGAATATATCAATGTAATGAATAAGATCGCAAAAAGGGTATTTTTCATGTTCCAGTGTTGAAACAAAACTAAAAATTTAAATTAAAAATTAGATGACAAACACGTGATTGTATAAATGAATAAAGTTTGTAAGTTAATTTCGCCAGCGAGATGAAGAGAGCAAGTCCTGTACATGAGCATGGCAAATAAGCCAAATATATATCGCATCAATCGTCCGACAGACGAAAAATGTGAAGCGAACAAAAAAGAAAAGAAGAAAACAAAAAAACACGTCATAAATGATAAAGCCACTGAAATTTATTTGTTATGCTCATCTAAAAATGTAATAACATTTTAAAATTGGATTTAATGCAATTGTTGTTTTATTCGCACCGCACACACGTATGTGAGTTTTTGCGCCTGCCATATTAGGATTCAATAATAATAGATACTGTGAATCTGTTTTCGTTCTTATGTATAATCAAGATTGAATTCATCCAAAAGTTGTGGTTTTAAAATTTAATTACAAAATGAAGAGAAAAAAAAACATTCCAAAATTATGTGCTATGTATTATACAAAATACCTAAAAATTAAGGGAAAAATTCCAAAAACAAAAGAAAAGTTAGTCAAAACGAGCCCACAGACACACATGACGTAAAATTCTATGAAAAAAAACCAACTGTACTGTATGAAAATTGTGTATAAAATATTATGAGAACAAACTAATGGAATAAATAAAGCAAGTGCTCAAATTGAATTAACATGTCCCTCATTTCATATTACCCCCGCTCTCCCATTCTTGTAGGCTCATTCTCTGCATACATAGAACCATACCACATCACCGTATGCAATTCTCTGAATCCAGTACATTGCCCATTGGATTCGGCAACTGTCACAGTGAGTAAACTTTCTGAACTAATTATGAGCTTGAGCATCGAACTTGCTTATGTTTAGCCTTAACATTTGTTGGGAAAATATGTGTAAATCTTTCCTGACACACCGTTGCCGCATCCAAGGTCGCTTTCTTCGTATACAAATACATGGGAAAGGTTTGACGTAAGACACTAAGACACCTCTACGTGTGGAATGCTCGAAGCTGTCATCGTACACATATTGAACACGAACATTGTCGTTTACACAATCTTACTCACACAAATGAACGCATCGATAGTGACCGCTCAATATATGTACGATGACTGTTTTGAGTGTCCCTCGCCTAGAGGGCTGCGTGTCATTTTTCTTCGTTTATTAAGCTATCTTGCCGCATCCATCGAATCGCAACCACTTAAAACTATATGCAGCTTTTAATTTTTATTTTATTTCTCTTGGATAGACTGCTACATTGTGCTTGTTCTGTTCTATTTTCTTGTTAATTTTCTCTCCTACACTCTATTCGAAGAAAAGCTAATTTTACTGCCAAAGGGCACAGCACCATTTTGATGAGAACTTCTTTTGCTTCTTAAAACACTAACTTAATTTGATAATGATTGCATTCGAAAAAAAAGTCTTCATTATCTTAAGGAGCTACTTATATCTTATCATCTATCGAGTCATAAGAATTAATGCACTGCAGCTAAGGGTCCATAGATCATTTCTCTTTCGAGTTGTTCACCCTTCAGTGTACCTTGGATACTTTCGCAATTTTCATTAAACACACTGTACGCACTGATTTCACCTTCCCGCCGCGGTCCTGTTCGAGTATTGAAATAAATGCCAAACAGTGCAGAAAACAGCAAGTACACGATTCCGAATTTCATTTCAATCGCAATCATCCAGCATGTGGCCCAGAAGCAAAACCAAAGCCCATACATTATGTACTTCATTTTTGATTCCTCACTTCGACTGGTCGGCACTTCTTGAACTCTGTTTTCATCTTCTGACGACACATAATCTGACACCTCACCATTTTCACTGCCCATGAGTTCCGCCTCCTCCTCCAATTTTTCCTTAAAAGCAATTGAAATCCATTTTTATTCTATTTGAATTTTGGAATTTTGACAAATGAATGATTTTCATTCACGTCTTGAACTTACATCTGGAATTTCAATAGTTTCGTCTTTTTTGGAATTCGTTTCCGAAGAAAATGTCATCATACTGATTAAACGCTGCTTGATTTTGTTGAAAAACTCTTTTCGCCGTACTTTTAATCGATACTTTTCTAGTTTTTCATCCATTTAGTCGTCAATGCAATTAGTCGTCAAAACAAATAAATTGGCAATCACTTCACTGCGTTTTGTTTGCTCTTAAAATTTTGTCTGTGATGTTATTATTTTGCAGTCGTTCCACGTACGTATACAATATTGTACTATTTTTAAGCGAACTCAAATCAGATGTTCTGCAGTTGACGTTTAACATAGCTGCCACTTTGACAGGCGATTTGAGCGACATCTAATGGCCGGAGGCGAAGGTTTTGTCAATAAAAGTACAAATTTAAAATGAATTTGCCGTTGAAATGAAATAAATGTACTTAAGCCTCAGTGCACAATCGATTCGTGATTAGAATAATAAACGATTTTGTTTACGAATCGTTTCTCACTTATCTGCACTAGAGAGTAAAGGTTAGCAACGAAAATTAGGCTAACGTTCTTACCAACTGAACTGAACTCAATCGAATCGATTATAGAATCACAACAAAGAAATAAAATTGTGCAAGGAAATTGAACAAAGAAGATTTGGAAGCTTCGAATTGAAACAAATAACAGGTTCTTAATTACATACGCTTTTGGGATAAAACTTACCTTTCTGATTGTTATTAGCTCGGATTTTTGTGCCTCACACAAACAAATACCGATTCGATGAGGTAACGAAGTTGTTCTAAATATAAACTTGCAATCTAGTTTTACTTACGATCTTCTCTCTGAACTGTTCTGTCATAAAAAACCTCCAATATCATTATTCCACTATCACTTACTTAGTTTGATTCTCTCTCCGAGTCCAAATCGATTCGCTTCTTTTCTCTCTTGTTACTAGTTGAATTTGAAGAAAAATAAAAAGAATTACATTGGTAATCCCGAACTTTTCCGTACCGTTGGCCTGCGTTGTCCGTATGTAATTTTGGTTATTTTTTGTGAATTTTCTTGAAATAAAAGCAGTGAAAATATAATAATGAAAATAAAGTGAAAAATCGGTCACTTTAACTAAAACTTCGACAATTTTGTATGAGAGGTACCCGTTAACCGATTCCTATTGGCTTCAAACTTTCTAAGATTTCATTTTTTGGAGAAAATATAAAATTCTGAAAGTTTCATGTTGATCACATTTGCAGAAGTTTGGTTTTTGGCCCTCAATTTTTTCCAACAAAAATTCGACAAAAATTGAGGACAAAAAATCAAACTTCTGCAAATGCGATCAACATGAAACTTTCAGAATCTTATTTTTCTCCCAAAAAATGAAATCACAGAAAGTTTGAAGCCAATCGGAGTCGATTTACAGGTACCTCCCATACAAAAGTGTCAATTTTTTGAGGTTTTTCTTAGGGCGAGTACCCCAGGATCAAATCGAAAATGGCTCATCTTCGAACTTAAACTAATTTTTTTGATACAAAACTTTTGGGACTTTCAGATTTTGATTATCTCCATTATTTTTTGAGTTATCGTGTTAACAAACACCAACGACAACGACGACAACGACGGCACACGAACGGAAAAGTGTCTCAAAAAGTGGTTTTCTACGCGTTTCATGAGTTTTATGATGATCTAAGCTAATTTTGCGAAAAAAGTTTTCGGGACCAATTCCTATACTTTCCCTTGACACGTTGTGTACGGAAAAGTAATAAAATGATCAAAGTGAATAAAAGACGCTCAAAATACCAATCAAAAAGATATATTCTATTATTTATTACTTAAATATTCAACCATCTCACATTCAGTATCAATCCATTGATACAGTTACATTGTGTGTTGTTTTTTTCACATATGAATAAAGTATATCAATTTATGACCAAAATAAATGAGCCATAGAAAATTAGATTGTTTGTTGGATATTGGATGTTTGATTGCGTCCAAAATAAGATGAAAACAGAAATTACAATTTAAGAAAAAAATAAGGATGAACGTCGCAAATTCTGTCGTTTCTGGATTTCCGCTGATGATGCTCAAGAAAAAAGCGTTCTTTTTGCAAATTATTTCAATCAAAATTCATTGAATGTACAGAATATGCGACGTTTAACTGATTAAAAGTTGGTAGCATACAAGGAGTAATATAGATGCAAAGCTTAACACAGAATGGAGGTCCATTCTCACGAGAAAACTCTTTGCTTATTTTCCTGTTTTGATCGTGGTGCATGCCTGTTCTCGATCGACAGATATATATATATATATGCATACAATCTTGATTAAAAATTATTTAAAATCTAAATGTCCACTTCCCAAAAATTACAATTTAGATTTCCCAAAGAATTTTTTCATCCAAATGGCACTGATTAACATTTTTGTTGTTTGTTTTGTGTTATTTATGTGTAAAACATCTATCAGTGCAATCCATTCGTTTGGATAAATGAAAAAAAAGTGGCCATATAATTGTGCTTTCGAAAAAAAATTGTCAGAAAATTGTAGAGTAAATGATAGAAGGTGAATAACAATTCATGGTTCAAAAGAAAATGCCCTTATCGACGCAATTGTAGGTGGTTTTTTTGTGTGCTCATTTATTTCATTTCATCGACCCAAACATCCAACAAACTATCGGCACCCACATCAGTCCTGTCAAATATATTATAGTCGTAGCTACTGTTCTCTGTTCCCATTGGTGAAATCAACGATGCTGGCAAAATGTTTGTGTGATCGGTGATGCCTATTTTTTTCAGCATAAAATGAAAACAAAATGATTAGATTTCCGAAAATAGAATGTTAGTTCGTAAGATAGACAATTTTAAATATAAAATCGCTTTTCATTGACCACTTACCATCGAAAAGGCCTCCTCCGATCGAAAAAGCATCCTCCTTCAATGGGGGCGGTTGTGGAACAGTGATTGTGATCTGTTTCTCAAAACTCTCAAACGGTTTTCTTTCGTCAATGGCCGACTTCATTAAGCCAACCAAGTCATTGTCGGACGAACTGAATGGCGATGCATCGCCACCGGAATTCGGGAAGCTCGAATTCAACTCATTCACGAGGAAAATATCGTCAACCAGTCCATAGTTCTCGGCATCCATTCCATTTTGATCGTTTTCGCATATGTTTGGTGCAAACTCCATGTTGACCCGTCCCATATTCAATCTTGGATTATTCTCTTTTAACTGGTCAATTGTGCTGACCGGATTATCTGCTTCAGATGTCATGTTACACTGTTGAAATGTACACACAAGAAATATATTAAATTTAAGTTTAGGAAAAAAGAAAGATTTTGAACGAAAATTGGAAGAAATATATGAAAAAGTATTTATTAAAATTATTGAGAAAAAAATGTCCATAGTAAATGCTTAAGATTCTGTTTTCGGTATAGTGAGAGTCTTTTCCCTCAAATATGATTTAAATCACTTAATTAAATTATATCTAAAGGATTTACATCTAAAAATATACATTCATGGGGTTTCACGGCCTAATTTTTAACAATCAATTAAAATGGTGAAAAATGGCTTCAAAACACTAGTTTCCTTTCCTTATCAATCTTTCACTTGACTTCATTCAGTTTTCTTAGGCAAAGTTGCAATGTTCTCAACAAGTTTTTCAAGTATTGTGAAAAGTGTCCATGGCTTTGGGCGAGCTTTTTGGGTGTGGAAAATGGATAGCAAAGCTCGAAGCTTTTGCTGGTCTTTCACTTTCGAATTTGCGATCTGATGCTATCGTATTTCTATAAAAAAAAAACCTTTCAAATTTCAGCTTCGGCAAATACAAGCATCGAAATATTTGACGCTTGTTTAATGAGGGCTGTTTTTTATGTGGAAAATCTACTGACACAAGCAACAAATTTATTGAGGTATTAAATGATAAGGATGTTTGTTTCCGATACGAAAGCAAAAATTCAAGTCGTAAAGCTCGTTATATCAAATTCAATCACACTTTGATTTTATCCCCGATGAATCGTTGCGAATAATTCTTGCCGTTCAGGGTATTTTCAGGCTTGTTAACGATTTTCAGGAAAAGACGAATAGAAAAAGAAATGTGGAAAATGTTGATTTGGAAAATGATATTTGAGAAGTGCGTATAAAATAGCATTGAAATGATGTGCTCAAGTTCCATTGCCGCACAACATCAACGTAGTGTATGCGTCGTATATCCAGTTGGATTTGAAATCGTCAAACATCAATGAAATATGATGTCTCAATGATGATGAGGGCGAAAGCCATAAAAGAAACCGAATGTTTGCTGATGAGACGAAAAGTTATTCGGAAATCAATTAGGAGGTGAATTGTGGAAAATTACGGGAAAGAAACACTTTGTCAACATGACTCAAGTTTCAATTGGCCTAATTTTGCTCTCCGCCAAAGATTATCCCAATCATATTACGTGGAGAAAAAACTTCTCCGAAATCGGACGATCGGTGAAACCAACTAAATCAAAATTCCATGAAATCCAATATGGATGAATCCCCGCCCCACAAAAGCACGCACCGTTTGATTGAAGCCAAAGAGATGCAACCCAAAGCGCTTACCTGAGCCGTTAAGCCGTCAAGTGAAAGGAAATAGGGAAAATGAAACCAGTTAATTTATAGTAAGATGTGATGATTAATTTGTATTTATTTCAATGTAATTTTTATTTGATGACACTAATTTCGCGTAAATCATAGCGTTCATTCATTTCTTTTGGTTGGTTGGTTCGCAATGAGCCAAATGAACGGTGTGAATATTTTAGCTTACACACTAAACATCGAAATATACTATAAATGTTTGTTTGAATTTATTGCATTTGCATATATCGTTTCGTTCCGTTCTGCTCTGCTCTGTTCTGTTCTGTTCCACTTTCAGTTAATTTGTCTATTGTCTAATGGTTTCTATCGTATATTTTCATCGTATGATGCCGGTGAATGATTCATTCGAATGGTTTGCCAGAGAGACTAAAAAAGAGTTGTGTGTGTTCCCTCGCTTTTGTCTTCAATAAGATTCTCTCTATTTGTGTTGATTAGAATAAATAGAACCCGTTTTCGGTGTGTCTCCATTTCAATTTCAATTTATGTCAATAAAAATGAATTGCTATTAGAAACAACTGACAATTTCGTTTTTTTTTATACTAGCGTCCATTCCTATTTTGCACTGTGTATTTCATTTAGCTACTACATTCATTGAGGCTCACGCATTCTGTTTGCAAAGAAAAACCAGTGTTTCATTTGGATTCAAAAATAAACATCTCATCGCCTTATCATTATTCATTCTCCTCTTCGTCGTCGTCGTCGTCACTCTTTTTTTCTATGTAAATATGTTTTTTGCGCTTAGTGTTTGTCTTGTATATATGAAAATGTAAATATCTTTTATTCTCTTTGTGTTCGGTTCATCGTAAATATATAATGTTTTGTGTTTTTTTGGCTATGAATAGAGACTATGGTGTTTGAAGTTGTTCCATCCTAATAATTTTGTTATTGTTGTTGTTGTTGTTGTTGTTGTTATTTTGTTTCGTTTTCATCATAATTAATGTAATTACTTTTGTGCTGAGGTAGCTAATGGTGTGGTGTCTTTAGCAATTGGTTTCCTATTGGCTTCATCCTTCCGCCAAAGGAGGATTGAATTCAATGAATTTCATTGTAACCACTTAAAAATGTCCAACAGATTCAAACAAAAGAGAAAAAAAAATTTGTCGCTAGAAACCGTTTTTATATTTTTGATTTGTCTATTTTACACCAAAGGTTTGAGGTAGTTTAGATTCCGTGTGTATGTGGCTCAAAACTGTGCTGATAAATTGTTTGCTTCATATTTGTGTTTTCATTTTTCGCTAATAAGACCGTATATCATTTTGCTATATTATGTTGATTTGTATATATCGTAATTTATTATAGATTTTCGAAATGTTTTTCGGCAACAATATCATGACTTGTTCTGGAAGCTGTATGAACCTTTTTTCGGCATATAAATGTTGGATAATTGAGAACTTTATATTATTAAGTATGGGAAGATTATTGTATTTTTATTTCTTTATATTTAAATTGACAACAATATTTTATATGAATTTGAGTTTTAAATCGATTCTCTATAGCGCGCACGATATCTGGCAGCTGAGTATTTTACTAGTCGGGACATATCTTTTGCATTTTTTTTCCTTTTGTTTAAGTTTATTCGTTTCCTTTATTTTATGTTATTTTTTTTTTGTTATTCTCTTCAATAAATGACACTATATACTTTGAAAACAGAAATTGAAAACGATTCGTCTACGTCTTGGGTACGATTAGTATATTGGGTTATAAATTACGTTTAAGTATATGTGTTTGTGTGTCTGTGAATGTGTGTGTTCGGTGCTCAATTGGTGAACGTGAACGTGAACGTGAACGAGATAATTAATTTAGTTATGCATTAAATGTAAATATTCCTCTCATTTACTGTCGCACTCTCATTTCGATCGCTCTGTCGGTGGCTCGTGGCTTTATCGTTTCAATTTATCTATGCATTTTAATTAATTAAGGAATCCCATTATCGGTATCATTAGATCGGAATTCATACTAGATGTGTGAACTAGAGCAAAATATTTAGTTAGTTTTCTCGATGTTTTGTTTTTTGTTTGTTCATTCATTTGTTCAATCTTTTCATTCATTTTGACACGATTCCAATTGGATCTTCGTGTGAACACTGTCTACAAATGTAATTAATATTTTCTTTAGTTTGTTTATAAATTGAGTAATTTGTTTTGATAAACGTCCATTTTCAAAAGAGGAGATAAAAAAGCAGATGCATCAACTACAGCACCCAGGAGGGAGGGGGGTTTGGTTTTGACGATGCAATTCGCAACGGTCCCATAAAATGTATGAAGATTAATTTATAGTCAATTAACAAATGTCAAAACGGTTTTAAATCATTCAAGGTTTAACATGAAAGTCGTGATAAACTAACTGTATATGTGTGTGTGTGTGTTTGTACTTGAGAATTTGCTAATGAAATCTCATGAGGAAGTTGAGATAATGATATTATTTTTTATTGGTTTTTTTTACTCAATTAACTATCGCTCAGAAAAATAGTGTTTTTAAAATTTCATTTAGAAAAGAACAACATTGATCCAAACTTTGATTGGTTTTCGTACTGCAACGGTTTCACTTTCTTTGTTTTGTTTATTTGTCATATTCTTTTGTTTCAATTTGGTAGCTGCTGGTTGTATTTGGGTCATAAAAATGTATACATTCAAAAGCACTTAACCATTACTGCATTAACTCATCGCCTATATATTTACAAATTGACCATCAACCAATGATGGCGGCTCTCTCTCTCTCTCTCTCTCTCTCTTAAATTTATTGCAAATACACATCGAGTACATAAAACTTTTAAACACTTGTCTTTTGATCAGTCTATTAGGTGAATTTTGGTGAACTTTTCTTTTCTCGTTTTTTTTTTCTTCCTTCTCTTTAACTCTTCCAATACAAATGAAAAATGAGCTTCTCTTTTCAAGTCAACACTAAGATCATTTAGTCGTGTCTCTTAGTTTTTTTTCTTTTTTCTGTTTAACTATTGCCAAGAACATAAATTCGTTAATCAAGTGGGTTGTTTTTTTTTCTAGTGCCTAGGTATCATCGGGATTTGTCACTAATTACTCTGGGAGCGGAGTGATTTTTTTAAATTTATTTTACTTGTTCATTAATACACGACTAAGGCAATCCAATGGAATATTGGACAAAGAAGGACCCAAACAATAAGATGTCATTCAGCTAAAAACTACAACAGCAAATTGTGGAGTTTAATAAAGCCTTTCAGTGAGCTGCGCTCAGGATTGGATGGTTCAACTGAAATTGTGGGCATTTAATTGATAATTGCTTTATTTCCATCCTCCCTTGCAGAAAAAATACATCCCTTTCTGGGGCGGAACAAACAAGTCAGACATGCTTTTTACAGCACATGATATATCATGAAAATGAAAAAAAAAACTAATCCAAAATATATCCGAGTTAATCTGCAAAAATGAACAAATTTCTATAATCTCCATTCAAATTATCGTTCCTTTGGTTCAAATCGTTGGCGTAAAAGTACGTCATTCAGACCAAAAAGATTGTTTTTGAAATTAAAGCTCAATCCAAACTGTGTGGGTTTTCTTTGTTCATTCTTTTTCGCCACGGAAACTTCGTTCGATAGCCAAGTTCCAAAAAAAGAGAAAATATTTATGTACAAGAGGAGTTTGTTCTTCTTCTGATTTTGTCACGATTCACATCGATGACAAACTACAAACGAATCTAATAAGTTTTAATTTTACATAGCTTATGGTTATTTGTATCATTCATTTGCTAATTGGTTTCATTTTTTTCCTCTTCTTCACTCTGTTTCTGGATTCGATTGAACACGAAATAGCGAATGAAACGATTTGAAAGAAAAAAAATTTGTTTTTTTCTGTTTGTTTTGTACCATCGGCGCTCATTGCACTTGCACACGCCACCAATTTACATCATTCTTTATTCTCGTCATTTTTTTCCCGTTTTTTATTGTATATACTCAAACTTTGAGTCTCAAAGTAACGTTTGCTTCCAGTAGTTCCATATGTTTACACATTAAACACTCGGTGATTTGTTGTTCTCGTTCAACGTTTCTGTTTTTATTTTCTACAATTAACTTGATGCTTATTTCCTTTTTTTTCAAATGGTTTGTTTTTTTAGGAAAAAAAAATTTTTTTTTTTCTATCACAGCAAAAAACAAAATGAAATTTCGGTTGATGTTTTAAAAAAATAATTTCTGATACAAAATTTGCCTATCATATTATTTATCTTTGTCTCTCAATCTGCCTTTGGTTGATTCCTTGTTCCGTTGCCTTATCATCACCATTCATTTTGTTATCAAAACTAAATGTTTATACTAAACTAAAATGGTTATTATTCATTAGTTTATGGTATTAAATTAGCAGTTCGTTTTGATAACAATAACAACCGAAAAAAAACTAATGTTCATTCAAACAAAAGAAACGTTCAGTGTCGTTGCAATTCGCATTAAATTGGAAATATGTTTGACACATTTCTTTCGACAAAAAAAAAGATGAAACCGAAACAAAAAAAAACATAATTATATTGGTTTATTCTAGAGTTCACTTAAATGTCTATATGCAATTCGTAATTTAATATATCAACTAATTGGTTAAACGATTCAATTTTTTTTACAAATTTTAAAATGAACTTGATGCATCACAAATCATTTCAGCGTGTCACTCTCACTTGGCGAATATGTGTGTGTGTTTGTGTGAATGGGCTTAAAATCTTATCTAATATTTTTAATAAATTAATTCGCGCAACGAATATAAAACATAAAGATGACAGATAGATAGGATATGAGAGTGAGAGCATTATTTTAGTAGTTTGTTTTTCTTCTTTTTTGTTTTGCACGCGCGCTGAGAGCACGCTGCAAATCGAATGCTCTCCGTGCTAATATAGACCGAAAACAGAATCTTAAACGACTACTAATTTGTATGTTGTTTTTCATCATCGACGACCATCGGCCATTTAGGCTTTTGCCAATTTTCGCAAACGCATCGGAACATGGCACACATAGCCGGCACTTATGTCGCATCCACTTACAAGTAAATTTTTGAGAACCGAATCGGATGATTGGATTTTCGGCTCATCGTATCCAATGTTGCAATTCCATTGGGCATCGTTGTTCGATTTGTCGCTGGTGGACTTGTTGGCCGGTCCGGTGTATTTGCGTACACGGTCCGGTGATGGAGCCATCAAATGTTGCAGCAAATGTGGCGATTTCTGTTGCTGTTGTTGCACTACTGTGTCCTGGTTCTGTAATGAAAATGATTGCTGTTGAATGTTGCCCATTGACCTAGAACTCGAATGGTCAAGGTTGAATGGTGATACCGTTGAATTGCTCTTCAAGCGCTTGTTTATGCTTGAATCCAATGGAGATGGGCGTTTATGGTTCATTTGTGTGACATTTGTCGTTTCGGCCATCTGTTGTTGTTGTGTTCTCGACCTTGACGATGTACGTTTTGTCGGCGATGGTATGGCCGAATATACAGCATTCACCTTGGTATCGTTGCCATTCATTTGAAGTAAATCATTCATTGTCCAACTCGGCAATGTGGTTGCATTTGTGCCTGTCAAAAGAAAATCTTATTTAAAAAAAAAATCTTTTCGAAAAAACAACTCGCCCCACAAAAATCGACCGTCATTTCGATTGGTTGAAGAGAAGAATCGCGTGAAACACTAACCATTTTTCGTGAAGGCTTCGTTGTCAAACATTTGAATGGTGTATGTGGTGATACAGCCGTCGGTGATACTGTCGATCACTTCCATTTTCGATGGGTCGCCAGCGATCTGTGTTGGTGTAAGAGATCGTATGCTATCGTCGTTCAAATTTTTCGCGAGAATCTGTTGTGTTTTGTCGTCAATGGCAGTGTTGCTGTTGCTGCTGCTATTTGAGCCGCACTCATATTTCGGTGTTGTTTGTTCCATTTTCAAAATTTCCGGTAGAACATTTGACTTGTTGCAACCATCCTCGTTTGTCGAATCATTTTCCACGTATTTGCTTGCCAAATACGATGCCAAATTGCTGGCTGTGCCAAACATCAACCGTTGTTCGGTAATGCTTGGTGTTTCCTTGACGCTTCCGTTAATTGCACCGTCAATAATCATTTGTTCGACCGGGTCCGGGCCAAACTGTTGTGATGGAAGCGATGTTAATTGCAAATGCAATGGTTGCTGTTGAAGTGCACTCGGTTCCTTAATGTCTATGTGCAACCTTAATTCATCGGAAAATGCACTCCACATCAAGTCTTCGGTGAGCAATGGTAAATCGTCATTTTCATTCATTGGAATATATGGTGCACGCATTGATAAATCGATGTCCGTATTATCCAAGCTCGTCGACATAAATGCAAATTCATCGCTGTGACTCATCGAATTTGGACTGCACAACGATGGCAAACTGCTGCTTCCTTCTGGGCTCTGTTTGTTTTATGAGAACATACGAAAATTAACAAAGAGAACATAAGATAAGACGATGTTTTCCAATTTTATCAGAGGATTTAAGCGCGATTGGCGCACTCACGCACGCATGTACGTACGCTCGCGCCAACAATCAACATTCGTCTCAAGTGTTTGTGTGCTTTATCAACGAAATCCAATCTTAAATTGCCTAAGCTCTAGAATTTGAGAACTTGAACGATGGAATGTTAAATTAAATGCCAAAACACAAAACATATACGCACTTGGCACTTCGTTGATAAAACAAACAAAAGCCAGAGCATGGCCATGTCTTTTTTTCGACAACGGCGACGACGAAAGCGGCGGCGAGCGGCAAGCGGCAAGCGGCTATTTTTGTATACGAACGAAGATAGTATACCTTTGATAAATTGTCGGGCGATAAAATGCTGGGCGAAGTTTCAGATGTTTCGCACATTTCATCGCGATAATTGATGAATGGATCGATGAATTTCATTTTACTTGACTGTGAATCAATGGGATTTATGTCATCGGAAAGTAATGTGCAATAACCGTCGGGCAAAATGAGTTCGTCGAATATTTCACCGAACAGCGGAGTTGTTGTGTCGTCGAGTGGCTTTACGTTCGTGATAGTGGTAGTGGTGTTGGCAAAAGAGAAAGATTTCGGTAAGTTAAGATGCTTTTCAAGTGTTAAATGCGACGGTATGCTTACTGTAATGTCATTTAAGTTGTTTGTGGCATATTTGTTGTTGGTGGTGGTCTCTCCTGAGCAATTATTGATGGAATTTGGTGTCATTGACGGCGACGATGAAGCTATTGATATCGGTGAAGATGGTACACCAATCAAAAGTGCTGTGTCATCCGGTTTCGTTTCCAATACTAGACCGCGCGATGCGAACGATAAATGCAGGACAAAAGAATAGAGTCAGATATATTCATTATGGGAATTGGTTGGCTTTTTTTACGACGTGTCATAGCCAATACGCACATACACACATTCAGAGCGTAGAGAGATCTCGACTGCATCGAATGATCATCAAAGAATGCTAGGAGTTTTTCGTCTGCTTCAAGAAATGAGCACAAGCACGCAATTCCAACCAAAATCCGAACAGCAATCAAGGTGGGCAAACAAAAATCGTATCATAAAATCAGATTCACAACAAATGCACAAGCTCAACTAAAAATACACGATTATGTATCTCTTTCTCGTGCATTTATTGCCTCTATAGATTACATTCCGCCACATGATAAATACCACACAATTTTTTTTAATCTATTTTTTCTGTGCTTTTTTCTCATCTGCTTCTGACGTGCGAAAGAAAAAAAAAACGATTTGAACTCATTCGCAATGCTTTTTGTAGTTAACGCATTCGGTTAATTTTTTCTCCTTCTGTATTTTTAGCCACAAATATTGTGTTTATAAATTTAAATTTGTGCGCGCGATTTATGTACATTGCTGATATCAGTGCTAGTTCGCGGCGTAACATGGCATGAAATGTAGGAATGCTCTTCAATTTGTGAAGAGTGAAGAAAAAAAGAGAGAATCGGCAGCAATATATTATGGTACGTGATGTAGAGCAGGTTTGGAAATGAGAGACGTTTTGTTTTATGAGAGAATGAGAAAGCAGAAAAAAACCGAAACATTTAAAAAGTCACAAGATGTTTTGTGTGTCTAAAAATAGTTTGTGTGTTTTTTTATGTGAGGAAAAAATTTTGCGAAGAAAAAGACTCTCTCTCTATGTTGAGCTAGTCCCAAAATCGCGCACTAAACGCGGCCCGATGATATTGATAGAAAATTAGACATTTGCTGAAACATGCTACGAACGTAAGAAAGAAATAGAAGCAGCAACAGAGAAAAAAAAACAGATTAACGCGCAAAGAAATTAGAGGAAAGCAAAACAAATGAGCGCACGTAAATAGCGATTTTCAAGGCCATTAATCGCCTTTTATCGCTCTTTCTCTCGCTCTCTGTTTATGTAAGTTGACAACAAATGCAAATAAATGAATAGAACAATTGAGGTTTAGATGATCGTTGTGTAAACAACGCAATTTGGCTATGGCTCAACGACATACTTGCCGTGCATTTTTGGTGTCGCGTTTTGTTTTTTCTGTGCTTCTTTTTTCATCTCGGTGGCCAAAAGCAAATCAATGAAACCGAAACAAATAAAAATCTTCTTTTGATTTGTGTGTTTTGTTTTTAGGGTGCGGTGTGCGAGAAGTGGGTTTCTTGTCAACAGAAAAAGAGATTAAGTGAAAAATGTGTGCGCTTGTAATAATTGAATAGCCTTCGATGACTCTTGTCAAATTGTGTGACAAACGCAGACGGAAAAACATTTCAATGGATCATGTCAATCGACGATTGAATAATGTGTTGACTGGATGGATGCTTCGGGGGGTTCGGATCGGTTTCGCATAGAATGCAGTCAATGTCCTCGATGCAATCTGCGTGTGGCATGCGTATGTGTGTGCGTGTGTATCGGCCACACATATCGAACGAGGTGATATTATACTCACAAGTGGGCTGTGATAAATCATCGGAGAGCATACAAAACGATTTATTCATAGTTTCAGCAGCACGTGATGCCTGTGGATTGACAGTAGGCGATGGAAATTTGGATGAAATGGGTCCAACGGTTGGTGCGTTACGCGGTTGAAATAATGATGCCGTGACAACGGTTTGGCGCGGTACCAACGACGGTTTGGCAATAGTCGATTGAATTTTTCCAAACGAGTCACGTTTGGCAGCCACAATTGGCTGTATTAATGATGCGGTTACCGTTTGTGGTGCACGTGCAATTGCGTTGTTTCCGCTGTTGTTGATGATGTTCAGCTGATGTTCACCGCCTCCAATCGCTTTGAATGGTTGTTTTGGAGCGATCGGTATTGTCTTAAATACCGATGCTGTAACTGCTTTTGGATTGGCTTTGACAACGTTTGTACCGTTCAGCTGATTTGCGATTAAAACACGTCGAATCGGTGGTTCCGGCACAACTAATAGCTCATCCACAATTTTAGCACTGTTCAATTGATGATTTGGATGCTCGTGTTTGTTTACACTCAATGAATGGTCATCAATCACTTCCAATTTGATGTTGTTCGTTACTTCAAATGTCTCTTGTTTCAGTATTTTCGGTAATTCAGCACTGCATTCCGCGGCTTTCGTTTGCAATTTTAATTTGTCGCTCGGCGATAACGCATTGAATGCTTCCAACTGACGCAATGAATACACTTCATTTTTATTTATCAAATCACTGAAAAAATTATCATGAAAAGAAAAAAAATTGCTATTTTATTCGATTCCCATATTCGAATGAATGCATCGATTCGGTCGATGTATATTTTTTGTTTCGCCGTAAACAGATTTCTCCCCATCCGTTGAAAATAGTATCAATTTCGCGGAAAAAAACACAGTATTTCGTATATTTTGTTAAACCACCAGTTTTACGACTAGGTATGTAATGATATCCCAATAAAATTATAAATAAAATATGTGCCTTTGGCATTCCTGGCCCATTATCAAACAGTTCTCAAGATTGTTGTTTTCAGTTCTTTTTTTTTGAAATGTGCCTGTCATTTTAATTTGCGTTCTGGTGAATTTCCACTCGCACGCAAATTATCAATAAAAAAAATGCTAGTTTAAATGTAACTGTAATAATCCAAGGAGTCACTAACCACAAAATGTGGTCAAAAGTAAAGCGACGCTAACGCGGGCGCCTCTTGGTGACGACATATTCGCGAACAATCTACGTATATATACATATACTACCGAATTATTTTTATTTAATTTTATGAATGTGAAAATGATGAGCAAAACATCAAAATAAATGTTCCGCGTTTCCTTAGCGGCTAATGAAGTAAATATCCGACGATCATTTTCATCTATATACTTATATAGATATATGACTTATAGTCGTTCTATATACGGAATCACGTGGCCAAGCTCCTTTTTTTCATTTCTTTTTTAATGTGAACATAATGAATTTCTCTCTATCAAAAAAAAAAAAGAAAACGAAAGAATTAATTTTAATTCAACGGAAAATTCTCAGGATGCACAAGCATCTAGTGGTAGTGTATTGACCCAACTTTCGCTTCGTTTAAATTATAATTTTTATGATGCTGTTTGTTTAATCATGTTTTTATTTTCGCTCTCATTGCTATTCCACTCGCTGCCTGCATTGCAACGAAGAGAAAAAATATCAGTCTTAGTGAATCGACGAAACAAAATGTGGCAAATTAGAGCAAATGAAAATTGGATTCAGTGAGAGAAAGAGAGCGCGCATTAGCAACAGTAACAGTAACGCACGAGTGTCGGAGGAGCAACGAAAAAGAAAGGAAAAAAAACAAATACAGCAAATGCAAAGTATGTGATACAGTTTTGTAGGCATGAGGTTGACGCTTAAATGTGCGACAGGCAACAACACCAGCAGCAGCAGCAGCAGCAGTACAAAAAACACGGTGTTTATTCAATTAAGATAAATTTCGGTCAATTGCTGATTGGCGCGCCTCATTGTTCAAGGAATCAATATAATGTACGCGTATATTTTGCGGCGCACGTCATTTTCATGGTGTTTTTTTTTTGCACGGTGTGCTTGTTGCTGGCTGCTGGCTATGCTACGGGTTGCTGTTTACGGGTGTGCAGATCTCGTAATATAAAGCGTACTTAATTTATGCACATTGATCTATAAAATATTCCAACAACTGGTTTCATTTGTTTCATGGCTATTGATCAAGCCGAGCCAAGCCAAGCACTGAGCAAATTGTGCGCTATGATTATTATTTGCGATAAAAAGAGTAATACAAATCATAGTTAGCAACAATGGTGTGTTGCTGCTGCAAAGTGTTTACGATAAAAATGTTTGGTTGATTATTTACCAGAATCAAGTGAACTTCATCAATCCAATCAAACGCACACACACATATTCACACGATCAGCACGTATGAATACTAAGCCATTTAAATACTTTGAACTCAAACGTTAATTGTGTTTACGATAAAAGGTTTTATAACAATAATGATAATTTCATAAGCATTTTTTTTCCGATTTGTTGCTGTTGATCTTTTAATCTCCTTTTCTTTCTCTCTTTCTCTTTGCCCGTATGTCGATTTGCATTGAGAAAAGAGTGTCTAATTGATTGCAAAATGTAAAATCGAGATGTATGCAAACAAAATGTGAGTCGAGCGTTTCTTTGGCAGCAAGCGAGTATCAGCATTGAAAAAGAAGATAAAATTTGCGCTTCATTGCATTGATGTAGTTGTTGTTTGCTTGCACATTGATGTACTTGAAATGGTTAGGCTTGCTCGCTACCTACTTCGATCAATTCTTTTCGATCAGTTGTGAGAGTCGTTAGCTCAAGCCAAAGTGTTCTTATCACAATGCAACCAGCTGAACTGAAACCAATCGCAGATTGTGTACTATTTGAATCGCAAAAATACTTCCTGTTTCAGTGAATCAGCTGACATTACTGATTTCTGTTTTTATTGCTTTTTTTGAATTTTTATTGCAACGTGTGTGCTCTGTCGCGCGCGCATTCGTGAGCCGTGCCCAATGAATCGATGTCGTAATATGTATATAATGATTCCCAAGGGTGTCAAGTTATGTAAGGGCTTGCACTTTACATATTCTGGGATCTTTCCATTGATGAACGAGCGAACAAACGTGTGTATTGCTGATCTAGCCAATTCGAAAGCAGCACAAGCGCTGTTCAAATCTTTTTCCTCGTTCCCAAATCGTAAACAATATTGAATAAATTTTTCTCTTGTTCTGTTCGTTCGTTCATTTGTTGTTTGTTGTCGAGCGCGCTCATTCGTTCATTTCGTTTTGAATGATTGTCTAATATCGTTATTATCGTTCCGATGATAACACACCGAACGGGCCAACGAGAGATAATAAATGAAATATTTATAAGAGCACGTAAATACACACGAGCAACGCACGAGATGGAAAGGCGAGTCTGAATGACTGGCTGACTGAGACACACTGAATGCGAATCAAATGTACATGAATATGTACTTCTTACGACACATCGAGTGTGTGATCTGATAGGGCGCGAGCGCGCGTTCGCGGCACCAAACGGAATAGGTGTGATATATGTGCAATATGCTTACAAATACTTAGGCATCCTTGCACACGCGACCCTACATATGCGCTACACAGTATTTCTAATGTAATTCTATTTTGCCGCTGCTGCTTTTTCTTCTCTCCGTCTTTTTGTTCGTTGCTCTTCTTCAATATTTCTGATTATTTATTTTAGTCAGTCTTAAGTCTTTTGGTTTGCGTGCGAGAGTACGAAATATGGCGTAAACAAATGCCAAACACCACACGGCTGCTTCACAATTGCATGATAAACGGATAAAGACTGAAACGACAGCAGCGATGACGATGAAAATACGCGATGCAGGGAGATGCAATATTCGCATTCACAGGGCAAGAACGAACGCAATAGATGCACATCAAACGATTTGCGTTGCGTATTACATTTTTTTTCTCTCTTTTCGTCTTCAGTGACTGTCTCGTAGTAATAACGTTTATTTATGTCGATCGAACGTGTTTGTGTTCATCATTCGATTCAGATTGCGTACAGCGTTTCGTCTTTTGTAAGCGTACGCTCTCTCCCTTTCTCTCTCATTCTCTCCTCGCATCGTGTGTCTCCATTCTAGCCGTGGCTTTTATTGTCAACTACAAACGATTATTTCAATTCGTTCGTTTCGACTATAGAAACGATAAAAAATGGTTTTGATGCCAACACTTTAGCCAATAGGAATGAAATTGGGTTCGTTTTATTTTTGCGACTGCAAAAATTCCAAACCAAATCCAGACACTGTGATACGCTCCATAAATTCGATGATTTGTACATCGTATTTTGTGAAATTTCATTTCGCTAAACGTTCACTCTCTCTTTCGCTCTTTTTGCAGCACAATATTTTTTTAGTTCGTCCGTTTTTTTTTGTCTACTTTAAACATATTAACAATAAGATAAACTGCACGCAGAACAGATTACAGCCATTGCACGTTTTGCTCTATCGTATTTTCGAGTTTTTAATTGGAAAATGTCGCTCTTTTCAACTGGAACAGACGTCGAGAAAATCTAGTCAATTTGCTAGAAAACGACCAACACACATCACACACAATCGAAACGACCAAGAAAGTGAGAGTGAGATGAAACGATTGAGCATAAGAGACGCTTTGCTCTTACGGCAGCATCTCTCAACTTGTTAATTTACACACAATTATATAATGTCGATGCACATTCACCGAATCATAAAAAGAACTTCTCTCAAGCAGATATGAGAGTGCGAGCCACAATGGATTATTTTTGCAGGTTTTTTTTTCTTCGTTTATTCCTGGTTGCTTTTATTCATTCATTCAGAGTATGGTCTGTATAGTATGTGTGTTGATTTTCTTATTTCGTTCCGTTGGCTGGTGGAATTGAGAATCGAGTTGACGACGACGACGACGACGACGACGACGACGACGACAACGAAATATCGAATTTACCGCCGAGAATAAATGTAAGGAGCTCTCCCAAAAGACACACCAACCGAGATATGCGAAAGAGTTTCTCATATCACAATTCACACGACAGTGCAATCAGAATACGTTGTACTTTTTTTTCCCTTTTTTTGCGCTGTGATTCGATAACAATTCTTGGTGTGGTTTTCTCTGTCACTCTTGATGACATTCCAATGTATATACGGGGAAAAAATCAACGAACTAAATATTGGATCACACACATCAAAATACCATATTTCTCGTTTGTTCCTTTTGTGTATCAATAAAGAAAGAAACACACACAAAATATCAAACAGGGAATCATTTGTCTTTCTTTTTCTCTATTCTATTGGTTTGGTTTGGTTGTTTCTACTTCTAAATATTCTTTCGATGGTGATGGCTTTTTCTTTTCGTTCCGACGGCAAACAAAAAATATAATCAACCATTTTCTGATGCGATCATGTTTACACACAAACACACACACACTTCTTAATCTTGTTGCTGTTGTTGATGGTTCACTTCGGTGCTGGGGTTTTTCGGCGTTTCAATAAAAATCGATTTTATTCGGTAACGTTGTGAATTTTTTTTTCCTTGCTCTTTCTCTCTTTCTATGTTGTTATTTTCGGTCGTCTTGTGACTCCGTTTTTACAATTAACTTTGTTCCGAGTGTAGTTTCTTGATTTTGCTTTTGTGCAGTTTAGATTTCGGAGTACGAAATTATATTGATATATTTTTCTTCTTGGTTTGTCGTCTGTTCACTCG